ACCTCTATTCAGAAAGGGCTGAATATCTTAAAATAGGTCCCAGAGGACAACCAACTCAACTAAACCAGACGACCAAGTCCCTACATCCTCTGCATGGCTCTTCAGCCTCCCACTGTGGCCACTGTCACCACAGATACTAGAACCAGGAAGCGTATGATAAGCAAGCTCTGTCAAACCCATATAGGGCTATCAACCCCACTGTGGGGACAGGTTACCTACCCAGGCCATCTGTGACTGGCCTGTGTGCCTGGTGTCCTACCTTCTCACTGCACAGTCCAGCCAGTCCCGAGTACCCACTGCTCTCCCCCAGTCCCAGGACATCTCATTTCTAACCCAGACTCCCCGGGTTCAGGTCACACACAGAGCCACATCTGTAACACCCCTGATGTTCCATCCTCACCACCTGTGTCTTTAACGCACATTATTTAACCTCTCGGAGCTGTGTCTTCATCTGCAAAGAGTGACAATAATTGTCCCAGTCTGACCAGATCACCATGTGGATTCAGGTGGTAAAGCAGGTAAAACATTTAGCACTGTCTGGCACGTAGCAAGCACCCGATAACCCTTATCAGACCCCTGGTCCTTTGCTTGCACCATTGCTTTTATATGTAACCCTCTTCCACCTGAGTAACCCCCGTCCCTCCCTTTACAACTCAGTTCTGCTCAAACGACTCCTTCTCCAGAACACCTCGCTGCCTAGGAGAAGCCCCAGCTCCAGGCCTGCCCAGGCACAAGTGCTTTGTGGCACCACGAGTCCTGCTCTGCCATCATCTGTCTCTCGACCCTGTCCCTCCCTCTCCCCCACCACACACACACAAAACCAACCACGAGCCTCCCAAGGGACGGTTCTGAGTTGTCCTCCCCTCTCAAAGAACAGCAGCACTATCCACCCGTCACTAAGTCCCTCACCCTGGGGTCATCCTCGACTACTGCCTGCCTCTCAAACCTCACATCCAACCCGACAGAACACCCTGCTGCTACATTCAGAGCACGGTCAGAATCTGACCACTTCTCACCCGGAGGAACCTGCAATGACTTCCCATGTGGCTTCCCAGTTCTGGCTTACCCCTGCCAAATCCTCTCTTCACAGCAGTGGAGGGATCAGCTGACGTCACTCCCCTACTGGGAACCCTCCCTGTCCAAACCCAAAGTCCTCACACCCTGGAAAGGCTTCAGAAGGCTCAGCAAGGTCACAGCCTGGCCTGCAGGGACCTCTGGGGTCAGGCACCACGCTTTCCCAGGTGTTCCCATGACAATGCCAGGAGGAAGGGTGGGGTCCACAGTGGGATCAGACTAGGAGCTGTGTGTGGGAGGTGGATTTAGCAGGATCCTCCTGACCTCCGGCTGCTGAGGTCTCTGATAGGCTGAAAGCCCAAGGAGGCTGGACCTGGACCCTCCACTGTCTGCAGCCTCAGGGCAGGAACCAGGAGTCAGCAGGCGTGACTCCTGGGAGATGCACACTGAGTGTTTCCTAACTGGCAGGGTGACAGAGGTGAGCCTCTCAGTGGCAGGAAGCGTGTCTTACTCATCAGTCACCTTTACAGTATCCAGCACAGAACAGACACATAGTAGGATGGCAGGAAAGCAAGGGGGTGATGCTGTTGGGGCCCAGCTCTGATGCTGACCTCTGTAGCAATCCTGTGACTGCCACAAAGTCTTCAGTGCCCCCTCACAGAGCAAGGTTTGGGGCCTGACTTGGGCCCTGCCCTGGAGTCCCCCAGCCTAGAACACAATCAGGTATGCCAGAGGGACTCTGAGGGAATGGGGTGGGGGGGCTTCCCCTCCCCACTCCAGCTTCTGGGAGCTCACAGGCCCCAGGCCTTCCTCCTCTGTGGACACACAGGCTCGCAGCCCGTGCAGAATCCCCTTCCCAATGGTGCATCTGGACCTTGGGCCGAAGAATAGCTGGTGCTAGTATCACTCGTTCAGTCAGCAGCTAACCACCGTTACGTATGACAAGATGCACCGTGTAAAGGTAAAACACATGGTCTCTCATTGTTTACTTCTGGCTTCCCTGGGTTGGAAGCGTGTTGTCAAACTTAAAAGAACGTAAGAACCATGGAGGGGTGGGGGCGCTGTGAAGGAAGCAGGTTTCTGACCTCCGCGCCAACCTTCGGTAGGTCTGAGGCGGGGCTCGCGAGTCTGCACTGCCCTCGCTGATGTAGCTCTGTGGGCTGGGCATTGTTCTGCACACTGAAAGGCCACCGGTTCGATTCCTGGTCAGGGCACAAGCCTGGGTTGCAGGCCAGGTTCCCCAGTTGGGGGCACGTGAGAGGCAAGTAACCGAGGTCTCTCGCACACATCGGATGTTTCTCTCCCTCTTTCTCCCTCCCTTCCAGCCTCTGTAAAAATACATAAATAAAGCCGATGGAGGCATAACTGAAAAAAGAGTCAGCACTGCCGAGTTCCGTGGACGACGCCTGTGCCCTGAAGTCTGGGGAGCCCTGCTCCACGACGTCACTCGGGCCCCAGAGCTGCAGTGTTCAACTTCTTCTGACCACAAACCACAGTATGAAATTTTACACTGTGACCCAGGACACAAACAGAAGTTTGATGAAAGCCATCTTTTCCCCAGCCTCAGTAACGCCCTCTCATGTTTTCTGCTGTGTTTCGTTTCACTCCCGGGTCCAGCTCCACTCAATCAGTGGATGACAGGGCCCGGGACTTCCACCCCGGCTGCACCTCAGAATCACCGAAATCAGAAAGACGTGTGTCCATCTGTTCATTGCAGCGTTATCTACAACCGCCGAGATATGGAAGCAACCTATGTGCGCATCAATAGATGGATGGATGAAGAAGAAATGGTGCATATATATAATGGAATATGGCTCAGTCATAAACAAAGAAAAAGAACGAAACCTTGTCATCTGCAACAACACGGACGGCCCCAGAGGATAGTGTGCTGAGTGAAATAAGTCAGACAGAAAAAGACAAATGCTGTATGATTTCACTTATATCTGGAATCTAAAACAAACAAATAAATGAACAAGCAGACCAGAAAGGAAAAAAAACCCCAGAATCACCCACTGGGGGGCTTTCACTGATTCCAGGACCCAGGCCAAACCCTGACCAATTAAATCAGAAATCCTGGGGGTGGGCGCAGGCATCGGTAGCTTATACAGCTCCCGGAGATGACTCCAACGTGCAGCCAAGGTCTAGATCGGTGGTTCTTAAAGTGCGGTCCCCAGACCAGCAGCAGCAGCAGCCCCTGGGAACTTGTGGGACAGGCAGGCTCTCAGGGCTCACCCTCGAACTACCAAACCAGAACTGCTGGGTGTGGGGCCAGTTCTTTGTTCTAACCAGCCTTCCAGATGCTTCTGCCGCCTGCCCAGGTTTGAGACCCACCGGTCACTAACGACTGAACTAAACAGATTTCTTGGCCCACAGATGAGTAATGGCGCCCAGCTTAACACACTGTCCAAAAGGAAGCCCCAGATGAGAGATCAGAAGTTAGTACCAGGGACATGTTTGCCTTTCCTGCAGAAATGGTGAATTTCTTCCTTTCCTGACACTGAAAGCTGCCTTCTGACCCATCCCCATGGTGTTGGCTGCGGGCAAGCCCAGAGTCACATCTAACCTTAACCTCAGTAGCACTGTGGGTCCTTGCCTGCTTTCTCCTTGATTTCTCAGCTATATGTGCCTTCGTAGGAAAGGGGCAGAGAGGCAGTAGGGCTGGCCAGCATGTTCCTGGGGTTGGACCAGGCCAGAGGAGAGGGGCAGAGCTGAGCTCGAAGCACTTCCTGTGGCTTTCAGTGCTCACTGGGGCCCTGTCCACACGCCCTGACCCAAGTCAGCACCACCACTGTGGTTTCCTGTTTGCAGCGGCAGCGCTCGGACCCACCCCCACCTCCACCCCCACCCCAGAGAGCCCACGGGTGTGCGTGGGGGTGGGATGCCCACGCTGCCTGGGAAATATCAGGAGGGGCCGGGGAGAGGTCAGCCCAGGGAGCTCCCTGGGGAAGGGGCGGAGAGGCAAGGGCTCGCTGGAGGAGCCTCAGGAGGGAGATTGAGTGGAGAGCTAAGGACCCCCGCTGCCCATCACAGCTGGTCCAAAGTAGGACGAAGACAGGAAGCTGGTGCTCACTTCCGAATATCTCCTCTCCAGCCCACCGCGGTGCTCGCAGTTCCACCACGACTGTCAACGTGTCAACGTGTGGGCCTTTGGGTGTTTAAAGTGAGGTGAACCCCGGCTGGATTTGAGTCCCAGCTCTGCGCTTCTTAGCTGCATTTTCATAGGCAAATGGTTTCTCTTCTCTAAGCCTCAGTTTCCTCATCTATGAAATGGGGACGGTGGAAGAACAAACCCCACAGGGCTGTCTGAAGGAACTGAGAGGGCCTAACACAAACGTGGGCGCTACCACTCCTTCGACGCCCCTCTCTGCCTCTGCTGCAAGGGCCTGAGGCGGCAGCTCAGAGGGGACAAGGGCATCGGAGACAGGCTCCACCAACTTTGCATAGTGTTTCACTTGCAAAGGCCCTGCACCCGCGGCGGGAGAAGCCCCAAATGACTGTGCAACGCGACATGTCCCTACGGCTCTTTAGGCCTCCTTCTCCCTGTGAACAGCTGAGAGAGGAAGATCACGAGGTGACTTCCAAAGGGTTTTCTGGCTCTGGCTGGCTGGTGCTCCAAAGCACTGAGACCTTGTCAGTGTGTCCGCTTTCTGCCGAGAGAGCGGGACTGTGCCGTGCCTTGGGGAGGGAGAAACCGCTGCTGGTCAGGGAAGGAAACCCTGTGACTACACTCCATTGCACCGGCTGGCTGCCCAGCGTTGCTGAGCCTGGATCCCCACAATGGGCCATTCGCACCTTGTTAGAGATGCAGGGTATAGCTCAGCTGCTGATGGGCTCTCACAGCAGCCGCAGGGCAGCCGGACGGCCAGACTGCCTGACTCCGTCCCTTCGTCCCTTTGCACTTGGCTTCCGACCTCTACCCCCAGTCACGTCGCACTTGGCTCTTAGCATTCAAGAGAGAGGCCCAGGCTGGGGCCGAGCTCACCCACCTCTCCTGGTCTGGCTCTCCCGAATGAGGAAGGCCCCTCCAGGGTTTCCAGGCAGCAACAGCAGTTCCTCAGCTTTCTCCCGGCTCAGGCCCTCGTACAGCCACCTGGAGAAGCAGCAGAGACGGGGGTCGACCTGGGGGTGAGTGGGCTGAGGTGCTAGAGGAACACCCTCCTCTGTCTGGGGACCTCAGAGCTCCTCTTGCACGTGAAGAACTGGCCTCAGGGTCTCTAAGGGCTCCCCCCCCCCTGCCCCCCGAGGCTGCTTTTTCTGCCTGGAGACCTCATTCCCAAGGGGCCCTGGGGCTGGGGGCAAGTTGGGGGATCCTGGCCTTTCTCCACCACTGCCGAGTCTCCTGCCACCTCCATGCTACTCACTTTTCCAAGCCTTCACCTTTCCAAGAATTGCCTGTGTGTGTGTATGCTTTTAATCTTAGCAAATATTTTACTTGGACGTTTTAAAGTTTAACTTTGTAGCCAAAGGTATGCAGGCAAACCTTTATTCATTATCACTGAAACACAGCTAGCATTGGTGATGATTTGTGGACAGAAGGGCTGAAACTCAAACGTTCAAAATGTCTAAAACTTTTAAAATTTATTGCCTTTAGAGAGAGAGAGAGAAAAGGGAAAAGAGAAAGAGAAACACTGATTTGTTGTTCTACCTATTTATGCATTCATTTATTGCTTCTTGTACGTGCCCTGGCAGGAATCGAACCTGCAACCGTGGCCTGTGGGGATGATGCTCTAACCAACTGAGCTACTCAGCCAGGGCAAGACATCTAAAATTTTGGAAAATATCATGCAGCTCAGTGATCACACTATATGGGCCTCCCAAAGCACGGCCCTTCCACACCCCTGCACCTGGTGCCTGTCCGCGCTGGAATGCTGATTCCTCTGGTCTCCTGTCTTCCTTCCTTTTTTCACTTAGCCCCTATCTGTCTACGTGGACTTAACTGTAATGGGAGGTTCCGCAGGAATTTTTTGGTTTCCTAGTCCATCAGCCTCAGAAGTTCCCAGGGTCACACGTCCTGTGATCCCAGCCGAGGCCTACAGAAGCCGATTCAATGGAAATGGCTGCCTCTGTGTCATTTTGTGAAATTCCACAGTCAAAGCCAGAGTCAGGGTTGAGTTGATCCCAATTGAATAAATTAGAGAAGCTAATTGGTGCCGGCAGCAAACTTAGTCTCTCTTTATAGTAAATAACACAAGTCTTTCCTGTTGATGTGGGAAGACTGTCACACCTTAGGAAAACTGAGGGTGCCAGTGGAGGAGTGCCCAGGGAAGGGCACTCGTGGAGCAGTCACTGTCCCCGACTTAAACTCAGTGCCACGCTGTGGACGTAGAGCCGCGGCCAGTTGGCGGCCCAGGCCATCAGGAAACCCGTGGCGAGGAGGGCTTCACCCGGCGTGCAGATGACCTCTGCGTGAGGCCGTCGACACCCTGCAGGACCCCTGTGCCCACCTCCCCGGAGCCGCAGAACAGGCAGGCCCTCCAGGGCTGGAGCCACACTGTCTGTCAGGACTGCAGAGCAGCTGTCACAGCAGCACATCCGCACGGGGACACCTTCCTGATCCTGCGTCACTCGGGTGGGATCACACTGAAAGCGGTTCTCTTCCCATCTCTCCCATGGCACAGAATTTGCTCTGGAGACGGTTCCTTCTGTCACTCGCTTTTGGTGCGAGATGGCTCCTGCTTTCTAGGAGACCCTGTGTCCTGTGTCTGGCTCCCCCTCAGAGGCACCTCTCAGAAGGACAGGCCCCAATGTGGGGCACCACCCCTTTGCTTCCTTGCCTCGGGACACGTGTTCAGGCTGCTCACATCTCCTGCAAATCCCTTTCAGCTTCTCTACCACCCCATCCCACCCTCCTCCTCTGGCTCACGAGTCTTGCAGGCCAGCCTAAGAGAGTGAGCTATCTGCTCCTCTCGGGGATGGGGCCTGGGTCTGATTCCCCAGTACCCAGCTTTGCTCGGCAGAGGACTAGGCATAAAGGACTACGCCTAGGGGAAGAGAAAGCAGGGAGGTCCCCTAAGGCAGGGTCTGGAGTGAGAACTCACCCATGGGAGATTTTGGCCACATGGACGCTCGGGACACTGCACTCTCTGCCTGAGACCTCTGACAGCACCGTCCACCAGTCTCCGTTCCTGCAGAGGGGAAGGAGGGATACCCCTCTCAGAAGGGCCAAGGCCCCAGGGACCGCTCACGAGGGCCCTCCAGACTGGATCCCACCTGAGTTTCCCAGGTTTCCTCGCCCCAACCAATCCAGGCACCTCCTGGGCGGTAGGCGGCATGACTCAGGGCCCCCTGCGTGGTCTGCCCACCCACGGCTTCTCCCTGTAGATGTGACACGCTGCCTGAAGTCCCACCATTAGGGCCACGCGGCAGCAGGGCACCCAAGGCCTTGTTCTTTTCTCCTGGAGACAGCGGCCCTTTCTCCCCTCGGGGCATCTTCAGGTTGGGGGCAGGGAGCAGAGCATCCCACACGGTGCCTTCGGAAAGACTTACTCAGCGACGATGGTCAGTGGCTCCCCCAGCCGCAGTGACAGCTCTGCCTGCTCGCCTACTGGGAAGTTGCCCAGGGCCACGGCTGTGGCCCTGCTCTTCTCTGGACGGAGGGACAGAGATGGTCACCCTCTTGGCCAGCCCTTTCTCCAGATGCCAGGTCCAGTGTGTTCTGGGATCCCACCATCAACCCCCCCCACAGGCAGCCTGGGCTGGTTTTTACACATCCTCCCAGACACACGTGGAGATCCCTGTGGTGACCCCAGCAGGGGCTCCTTGGGGCGGGGGGTCTCTCCTTCGCTGAACCACCCACCACACAGGGCCTGGCCACCCCGAGGTGCGGGAAACACCGGCTGCCTGAGTAAGTAGCGCGACCAAGTGTTGTGGCGGGCATCCGTCCTACGATAAGGGTGGGGCCCGGTGTCCAGGAAGGCTCCTTCCCCTCTTGGAACCGCTATCCTCTCAACTGTCCCCCTCCACCTGGTGGACTCACTCTTATCCTTCACTCCCCGGGTGGAATGCCCCTTTCTTCGGGACGCCTTCCCTGACAAGCCCCTTAGCAGACACTCTTGGTCAGAATCTCTTAAAACACATGGCTGCCAAAATCTAACACAGTGTGATTGATTATTGGTTAAGCACCTGTCTCTGGGACTTGACCGTCCCTGAAGGCAGGGGCCGAGCCTGTCTTGTCCACTGCTGTGACCCTGGCCAGGCGTGCACAAGGCCTGGCTCAAAAAGCCTTAGATTTTGGATGGCTGCAAGGCTGATGGACAGATGACTCATGGAAGGGGTTGCCCAAAATCTGTGCTTCTGCTGGGACCAGGGATAAACCTCCGGAGAGGCCGGTCCTTTCTCTAGAGACCCGGGCAGAGGGGTAAGGCAGCTCATCTCAGATTCCAGAGGCAGGACACTTGCATGGTGGGGGTGGGGGCAGGGGGTGGGGAAGGGCGGGGGTCACCCTGCCTCAGCAGCTTGGGCATGACTCAGAGCTGCCTTGGGGCCCTGCCAGTGGCTTGATTCAGAGGAAATGAGGTGAAGGTCTGTGTGGTTTACAGGTCTCTTTCCGTTCAGCCTGCTGGGCTCCAGGCTCTCTGTGCACGCTGAGTGGCTACAGGACCTAGGGCTTTGGGACTCGGTGCCTGCAGGCCGGGGTGGGGGTGGGGGGGTGGGGCTGGTATTAGGGAGCCGATATCGGGGGCAGGGGCTGAGGAGAGGGCAGGAAGCCCCCGCCAACACAGGGGTTTTCAGATTTGGACAGCTCCTGCCCAGACACTGAACTGGCAGGCGTTCAGCTCTGCAGCCTCTGAGTTCTGTGTGAGTGTGTATCCCTGTCCTTCCTCCTAAAAGTGCAGCTTGGTTTAGAGTAATCTTGTTATCTGTGATGGTTAATTTTATGTCTCAGTGTGGCTAACCCACAGGGCCCAGACATTGGGTCAAACACAAGTCTAGATGTTGCCGTGAAGGTATTTTTTAGATGAGATTAACATTGAAATCAATGGATTCCGAGTAAAAAAAACACAGGCGGGTGGGCCTCTTCCAGTCAGTTCAAGGCGCTGTGCTGTGAGAGACAGGCCGAGGTCCTTTGGGGAAGAGGGGAGTCTGCCTCCAGCTGAACTCCAGGGTTCTGCAGCGTCAGCTCTCCCTGGTCTCCAGGCCACCTGCCTGCCAGCCTGCCCTGCAGATCTGAGACTCGCCGGCCCCCACAACTGCATGAGCCAGTTTCTTAAAATAAATTCTGTGTCCCCCCCCCCACCCCACGCACACATATGCACACTATTGGTTCTGTGGTTCAGGACTCTGATGAATACATTATCAAAACCCCAAATCAGGGTGATTTGAGAAAGGACTTGTGAGCTATTTTGGGGAACAAGAAACAAACTGGGGGCTGTAGCTTTGACATCAAAAGAATAGAATTTATTTTGATTGTCTAAGAGTCCTTAAAAGTAGCAGTTTTAGTCATTAGGACCATGCTAGAAAATAACGGCTATCGGTTCAGCGTAGCATTGTATGTGCTAATTTTTTCCAGTTGTCATAGACCTGCTTTTGCTCCAAGTATTTAACAGCGCCTCGCACGGTAAGAGGAGAGACTCTGGAGCATCGCCGTCTTGCAGAACTTCCTGTGATGATGGAAACGTCCTATAATTTTGCTGTCCAATTAAGGTAGCCACTAGCTACATGCGACTCTGAGGACTGGAAATGCAGCTAGTGTGGCTGAGGAGCTGGATATTTAATTTTATTTCATTTAAAATTCATCTTAACTTAAACTTAAATGGCTGCATGTGACTACAGGCTATTGTAACAAACAGTACGGGAACGGAGAGCTATAGAAGTGGGATTGGTCTTGGAGCAGGCAGCTCAGCCTCCCAATAAATTGGCTGGGAAGAAAGCTAGCTTTGCGGGAGCATCTGGGGGACTATCACGCCCTCTTGATTAGCACCTGTCACTCTCTCAGATTTTCTACTTCACCAGGTTGTTTAATGTTGACGCTAAAATGTAAGCTGTAGGCCTGGGGTACAGCAGGCACTCAGGACACTTGCAGCTGCGCTGGATGGAGTGGCTGGTCCGCAAGGCTGTGCGGCCTCAGGGGGGCTGGGAGAGACCTGGCTGTTCCGGGCCCTGTGGCTTACCTGGTTGCATGGGTACAGGATGCTGGTCTTGGAGAGAGGGGCTTGGGCTTGGGCTTGGCAGGGTTTTCCCTCTGCTGGGCTGACTTCCCATCGTTCCCTAGCAGAACTCTCAGAAGCACATTGTCGAGAGAAATCTGGAAAAGATGCTGTGATGGGGACGGAGCTGGGGCTCCAGGCCCCGTCCCCAGACAGCCTCCCTCCCTGGCTCTGCCCTGCTGACCTCCTTGCGGACCCAGGCAAACAACCTCCCTCCCGTCAGGACCAGGTTCCAGCCCCTCCCCCAGGCTCTGAAGGCTCCCTGCACACTGGACCCTGTTGTCTCCCATCCTTACCATGCTCTGCTCTGTTTCTCGGCCTTGGCGTGTATGGTGTGCCCTGCTATTGGCTGGAGTGCCCTTTTCCCTGCTTCGGGGCTATCTTGATCCCACCCTACCCCAGGAAGCCTTCCCTGCATCCCCCAGCTCTCCCTGATCACTGGATGGTCTACTCAGAAGCACTGCCTGAGCTGGAATCATATTCTGCTACTGTGTGACCGGGGACAACGACAGGGCAGAGTTCACGCCAGGCACACCAGGACCTATGGCTCAGGTTAGGAGTGGGCAAGGAGGATCTGGCGTCACAAGCTAAGGTGACACTGAGCAAACTTATTGGTGTCACAGGGCAAAGCAGGAAGACGGGGAGGCTGTACGACGGTGATGACTTGCAAGGCTTTGGAGGACTGTGGAGCCACTTCCTCTCCCTTTGCCTCCATTTCCTCATCTGAAAAGTGGGGATAACAACCCTGAGCACACGGGCCGCAGAGATAACGGGTGTGAAGAGCCTGGCCAGGGCCTGCTCTTCCTGGATCACGCTCTGAGCTGCTCCTGGGAGACTTCTCTGTCCTTCCTTGGCTCCCTGTTGTGTTCCTTCCCATTTAATTATTCATTTAGTAAAGATCTTACTTAATAGGCTATTATTTTATAGCTCAGCGAAGGCAGGATCTCTCTTCACCTGCCTTCCCAGCATTTTCTGAGGGCCTGGGCCCACAGAAGGGACTCAGTGCACATTAACTAAATGGATGAAAGTAATTGCCCTGGTTGGTGTGGTTCAGAGGATTGAGCTCGGGCTGCAAACCAAAGGGTCATTGGTTGGATCCCCGGGCAGGGCGCATGCCTGGGTTGCGGGCCAGGTCCCCAGTGGGGGCCACGTGAGAGAGAGGTAACTACACATTGATGTTTCTCTCCCTCTCTTTCTCCTTCCCTTTCCCTCTAAAAATAAATAAAATATATATAAAAAGAAAGTAGCTATTAGCTCCTTGGACAGATGTCTTATCCTTAAAATAATTCAAATTCCCAGGTTTCCAGGGTAATGCTGATTTTTCCAAACACTATTTTAAAGTGTTTCGGGGAGGTAGTTTCATTCTTTTCAGTAGAGACAGGCGTAATCACACTAGTTTGGTGATACAGCAGGCTCCTCCTTGCCTCTGAACCCCAACACCATGTCTGGGTGAGGACAGCTGTCTGTCACTAGCCTGGATGGACCCCGTGGTCTCGCAGGCCAGTCCTGTCTGGAGTGAAGATCCTGCCTGAGAAGAGGAACCGTGACCTGTGCAAGGCGTTTACCTTCCATTCTGCAGTCTCGTGCCATCGACGTGGGGATAACAGGACCTGTCTCTGCAGCCGCCCCACCCCCACCCCTGGGAACTCAGTATTCACGGGACAGGGGTCTTGAATACAAAACAGGCCCAGCTAGGAAATGGCTCCTGACAGCCACTTACTGCTGACTTTGGGATCCCGAAGCCTTGGCAGCCCGAGACGGTGCCCCTGCCTCCTCAGGTCTCCCGCCCCTCACTACTAAGGCACCCCTTTGGGTCAGGTTTTCAACGTTCCTGCTGCTCCCCAGCCTTTCCCCTTAAGGAGGAGGTGCAGGCTCTACGCTTAACTGTGCCAACATGGATCCAGAGACTCACAGGGGAGATCTTTCCTGGGAAGCACAAGTGATTAATTTAGGCCAACCAGGCTGAAGCCCGGTGACCTCAGAAAAAGTGTGTAGCTTTTCCGAGTCCCATCTGTGAACTAAGTATAACACCAAGTCTGCAGGGCTATCTGGGGGGGGAGAGGGTGTTGAGGAGCCTGGCACAGAACGGGTGCCAGTAAAGGTTCGTTTCCTTTCCCCTCCTTCAGCAAGACAAAGTCATCACAGTCACCAACTGTGCTGAACCCAGAAACTTCTTCTCGCTGCAGGTGGAGCTGGGGGATGGGCCCGAGGGAGGCAGAGCTGCACTCAGGCTGGGAGCCCCCAGCACCCTCTGCTAGTTCTCTTCACCTGCTGGGGTCAGGAGGCCTCTTGGGGGCCCAAATGAAGACCACAGGCTGGGCAGGCCTGGGGGGAGAAGCTTTGGGCCAAAACTTTCCAAAGTGAGAACCTAACCATTAATTATGTGAGTGTGTGAACAACTTGCTACCCATGAGGCACTTTCTAGGGGACGTGGGCCAGTGGTTGGAAGGAAAGAGTAAAAAGCAGCTGAGGTCTGCACAACGCCCGCGGCTGTTGTTTCATCATCTCATTGAGAGATGGGCACTGGAATCCCATTCAGATACGAGACCCGGGGCCCAGAGAGCACGGCCTCAGGCTCACTGCCACACAGCTCCAGAGTGCAGGGCTGGGTCTTCAGCCCCCTTGTGTTTCTGTGCTTCAGAGGGTGATTTCTCAGTGGTGGGGTGAGAGTGAGGAGTTTGGATTGAGCTCCCTCTCTTTCGACTGAGAAATACCGCCGATCCGAGAGGAGCTGACAACTCTAGAGCCAATGCAGAGACTACGACCCAGACTTCTCTCGTACACTGAAGCTGGAAGGCTGCGGCCCAGAGAGGGCTACGGAGCCACACAGCAAGCTTGCCACTGAGATGGGACGACACTGGGCACGCAGACAAGCCGCAGGGAGCGAAGTAATTCTCAAGAGGACAAAGGTGGAGGAGGAAGGTCTTGGTTCCTCCAGGGACCTTTTGAAATCACCTCTTACAGCCTCAGCAGAAACACTCCTTCTCCTTGAGCATCTTCCTCCCCCAACTGTAAAGCCCACTCCCAGCCTCTGAGGGCACCATCCTTCCTCCCAGTCCCACGCTGATCAGAAAACAAAAACAAGCGTACTCACTCGTACTCGTTTCCTGTCATTAGAGGCTTGGAATGGGGGCTTGGTTAAGATGAATGCTTTGGCTGGGAAGGTTAGGGCCTTGGGGGGCCCTTCTGGAAGTCTGCCAACATCCTTAGTCCTAGGACATCCAGGACCCTCTTGGCCTAGGAGAATCTTCAGGGAGAGGCTCTTGGTATCACTTTGGGTAGCTCTGTACCTGCCTGTGGTCAGCAGTCTGTACACCTGGGATGGGGCTGGAACCCCGACAACGTGAACCTCCCAACCACAGGTGGACCGGGGAAGAAGGCTCGGAGCTCTCTGAGGCTCCCGGCTCACATCTGCAGACTCTGTGGTTCTCACAACCACCCATTTCCTCTGACGGCATCACAGATCATCAAGGAGCCACCTTCCCCAAGTTCCTGTTTTCTGGGGCAGAAGCGGCTGCCTTGTCATGGTCCTGGAGGGAGAGGGCTTTTCCTGGCCTAGCAGCTTGGTCTTGTCTGGGGAACACAGCACCGAGGCAAATGAGCAAGTTTCCCATGCTTACCTGATCATAATGATCACCTGAGGGGCTTGTTAGTATCAGAATCCTGGGACCCTCCCACTTCTGAATCCAAGTCACTGGAGGAGCAGCACAGGAATCTGAATTTCAGACACACTAAGAGATCCCTTTGACTGGCAAGCCTGGGAAGCACTGCCTTGGAGTGACATGCCCTAACCCTTCATGTGTACGGGAGTCACCCAGGGATCTTGTTAAACAGCAGACTCGGGCTCAGTGGGCCTGGCGTGGGGTTCAAGAGACTGATTGCTAACTACTTCCAGGTGATACCCATGTTACTGGTCCGGGGACACTGAGTAGCAAGACCTTTGGGCAGCCGTTTCCCATGTGGCCCCCAGACCAGCAGCCTCAGCATCACCCAGGAATTTGTAGACAGGAAAATTCTCAGGCCCCATCTTACCCCTGCTGAATTAGAAAACTCCATGGGTGGGCCAACAATCTTTCACAATCCCTCCAGGTGACTCTGATACATGCCCTAGTTTGGAAATCACTCAGCCAGGATAAAGAATCTTTGATAGGATTGCCTTTGACTGGTGTTACCTTCAGTGACTGAAACTTTTTTCCCCAATTCATTTTTAATTTATTAATTTTTAGAGGGGAAGGGAGGGAGAAAGAGAGGGAGAGAAACATGAATGTGTGGTTGCCTCTCACATGGCCCACACTGAAGACCTGGTTTGGGACCCAGGCATGTGCCCTGACAGGGAATCGAACTGGTGACCCTTTGGTTCACAGCCCACACTCAATCCTACTGAGCTACACCAGCCAGGGCCAGTGACCGAAACGCAAATAAAATCCTGTTTGTTAAAACCTAAATAACTACACTCACTTTCTGCCTTTCCATGAGGGGGATTAATTAGTATTCCTGGAGATAGATTTTTTTTCTTGTTAAGCATAAAATGACCCACTGCACTGAGAATGCTGACTCCAGCTGACTACGCAGCTTTTGGGGATTCTGGCCAGCTGGGGCACAGGCCAGCTCAGGCTCTCTCCCTTTCTGCCAGGGAAGTTTGGTTTGAGATTAACTCAGAGGGCACATGGCACACAGAGCTGAAGGAGTCGGGAGTGGAGATACATCCTCTGTACGGAAACTCAAACCAGGATGTGTAAACGTGTGAGGGCCACTCAGTGACGTGGCCTGTGGCGGGGAGGTGTAAACGTGTGAGGGCCACTCAGTGACGTGGCCTGTGGCGGGGAGGGAACGGAGCACGGGCCCACCCTCCTGCCCCGGCCTGCATACCGTGCTAGTGCTCACCTCATCTGGCAAGTTTTCCAGACCAGCCTCAAAGTGAGGACTGTGAATGAGGGTGGAAGTACGGAGTCTGGTCTCAAGAAATCCCACATTATATTCTTCCTTTCCACCCAAGGAGGCACCTAAGAATGAGTTTGAAGCCTAGATCTGCTGCTTATTAGTTTGGTGACCATTTCTCATCCACAAAATGGGACTAGTGTGTATCTCACTGGGTCAACGGAAGGAAACATACAGGAAGACACGAAGGGTCCGGCCTGTAGTAGGTGCTCAATAAAAGGCTGACTAGACTATGAAAATATACCGATTATGGAAGAACTAGGAACTTTTCCTAGCTAGGTGACCTTGGCCAAATTACTTAACTCCCCTCAGCTGTTCCCTGTCTGTAAAACATGGCCCGTTTTGCAGAGCTGCCCTGAGAACTGGGAAAGAGGATTTATAGGGAAGAGGTTCACACAATTACCACGTGTAGTATACCCGGCCACTTTCCTTACCTCTCTCTCACAAAGCAGACATCAAGATTTTTTTGGACTGAACAGAAAGAAAGGAAACGAGAACAAGAGGAGGAATGAGTGCGTGGCCGGGAAGGCTGCAGCGGTGTGGAATCTGACAGGAACTGCCACCATCAGACCACGTCTAGCTCCAGAAGTCTGTTGGCCTGCAACGTTGGGAACGCAGCTAGGGGACCTGCATCTGCCCGCGTGCATCTGTTTCTTCTCCTCCATCAGAACGAGCAGGGTCTGTGTCGTTTTACAAGTTTCTCCCGCAGACATGGCAACCTCGATGTACTCTGGCAGTAGCAGCTCCTGAGTTGTTCAAAACCTGAGACGGTGGCCTCCTGAAATTGTTCTTGGTGCGTACAAAGACAGCCGTTTGTGGAGAAGTACAGCCCGGTCTGTCTGAAGAACCGACAAGCGGTTGCAGATCATTGCTGAGGGTGGGACTCAGCAGCCCCACACAGAGGGCAGAGCTGCGATACGGAACGCATTTCCAAGACTTCAGCTTCTCCCCCATCATCACAAACCGCATGGTCAAACTTCTCATGATTTGGGGGTTGACGGGAATAGAGGATGTGTGAGGTGGACTTGGGGTTCTTTCAAACCCAGCTGGGCTTCTGATATGACCTTGGGCAAATTATTTATCCTGAGATTTAATTTTTCACCGGGTGGGATAATGATGGAGTATGTGAAAATGCCCAGCATGGAACCCATACACAGGGATTTGGTCCCGCCCTGAGCCCCAGTGAGTGGGTTGAAAGAAAGAAGACCAGCAATCAGGTAACAATGAGACATATACAGCTTTATTTAATAATCTGTAAAAAGTCATACTCTGGCAGAGTGACGTATTCCCTATCTCGGCAGAAAGCGAACACTACGACTGAAAAGCCCCTTCCTCAGATCTGGAACCGTGTCACCCTGTGCTCAAATCTCAGTGGCCTCGAGAGCTGGGCCCTGGCTCTGTGGCAGCTGGTCTCACCCTCCGCCCAGCGGTAACAGCAGGAGACTAAATACAGTTTCACCTGGACGGGCTGCCCTCAGACTCACCCCTTCCCTCCTACAAAAGAGAATTCACAGGATTAAGAATCTTTCTGAAAAATGAGTTCTATCTCAATTTCACTTAGCTTCCATTTAAGTCTGCTGAAATCAAGGCTACAGTTATTAAATACGATACTCTGGTAATGTCTGTTCCTCTCCCCAAGGCCATTTCCTCACACCCTACGTAATTTCCAGGCTGCACCTCTCCTTTTATTAAGGGTTGGGGGGATGCAGACACTCTCCACCACAGAGCTGGAGGGCATTTCTTGTGGATGTCTGCTAGTGGTATCAGACAGTTTTGTTCCAGCAGCCGAATGCCTGGCATTTCGTTTTCCACCTTCCTGTGCCGAGACAGTCTAATAATTAAGCCACGCCCACTCCCTGGAAACAACTCCATGTTGCATTAGAACCTCATTATTCATGAGCTTCTGACAATACAACCCCTCCTTCCCTTTTATTTACAGAATGGTGTATGTGAATTCATTTGGATGGGAGTGGGTGGCTGGCCACCCTGCGTGCTTCTCTACGTAACAGGCTCCCTTCTATTGGTCACAATTAACAGTCCAAACAGTAATTATGGAATTACGGTCTTCTACATTCCTCAGAGCTGGTCTCTCCGGAAGTCACTTTGTAAATCACGTTGACCAATTTGGAACCAAAAGTGAATGCAATGACCTACCCAACCTAGAAATCTGCATATTTCCCCTAAAAACACTATTGAAAATGCAAAAAAAGTCCCTTTTTTGTTTTGTTTTGTGTTTTTTTGCAGAAGCTCTACAAGAAAGCATGTCTAAAATCACAGAAATATGCACACAGACAGACACGCGTGCTCACACACATACGTCAGGATCAAAGAAATCTTATCAGCTACGTAGTTGGGAAAGCACGGGGAAAAAGCTGGCAAGAGAAGATAAGATCTGATCAGCTGAAGATGTTGGAATGTTACAGTAATGGCATGAAGTGGTTCCTGGTACATACAAAAAGAGAGGGCGGGCAGGCAGGGAATGATAAATCCAGGATACCAGAGAGAAAGAGTCACTGGTCATGCAGGAGTTAAAGAGAGATCCAGTTTGCTGGATGAAATGTTATATTATGGAGTGGTCATTTGAGGGAAGGTGGACTTGCACGGTCCGGGGGAGGAGCATCTGCTTAGCAGGACAGCTCCATCGTCTGATGTCTGTCCAGAACATCAGGGGACTCAGAGGATTCTTGAGTTCCATCTGACTGATTGCTGGTGACAGATCGACTAAAGGCACTTTCTCCAGAGCAGATACTACTCGAGGTTGAGTGGGTTCGTGATCGGGCGAGCCGGGTCATGCTGGCAGATGGTACTGTAAAAAAGAACCAAGAGGACTAGAAGATGGAGCCCTGCTTACACTCAGTCAATCCAGAAATTTCATCAAAGGCTTTATGTTCAGTTTTCCCCAACCCAGTTAAGGTGACACCCAGGACAAGATGCAGCTATCTTCATTTTGCATTATTTGCTCTAGGTGAGTGGCTATCTGCAAGGCTGCTTTCATCCTCTGGCTGGAACCTCAGCTGATCCTAGTGCACAGCAGAACAAGGCAAAACCTAAGTCCAGAGTGTAGTCTCTTAGCTATGCCCACGCCATTCATAATAAATAATTAGGAAGGAGGCTTTGGGAACCCATACAGGTAGCCAAAACCTACAGTGCATGCAAGACTAAACCAAAAGAAAGACAAACCACACAGGTATGAAGGTGTTTCACAAACACAGTGCAAGCCCGATACAACAAGACTGCTATCCGTGTCCACAGGCCACCCTTGCTTCCTGGGGAGGAGACATGTCAGACGGTGTGGGTGTAGAGGGGGCTGGCGGGCCTGGAGCCAGCCTCTCTGCATGCTGTGAGGTACAGGCTGCCTGAGAGGGAAGGGTTCTGGGGTGGGCGTTTAACTCAGACCCCTGTTCTGCCACTGCTTCAATCCTAAGGTCCTCCAACTTGGTCAGAACAGGGACTTACCTGGCATAACCTCCCTACCAATTTTCCTGAAGCACCAGCCACTCCCAGCTGTTATTTTAATGCTGGGGTCAAAAGATGCCATCACCTGCAGAATTTTCTGGCCACAGGCTCTGACGATCCTATTTAGAATCAGGGCTGCCCTTTGATTCCTGTGTCTGGGGGTTAATGCAAGGATTAGTAGGTAATGGTGGAAGAGGGGCCCTGCCTATAAAGTTTTAGTGCTCCTGTAACTCAATTTAGGATGGTGAGAGGACACCTGGCTCTTCTAACCAGTTCCATTCTTCCTTTCTGGGGGCCCAGGGCTGGACCTGCAGGCTAATCCTCTTGGGGCGCAATGAGCCACGTTCTATCGGGCTCTCACTGCACAGGAAAACTGCGGACATGCTGCAGGCGGCCAATGCAGCCAGGAGAGCGTGGCTGGGAGGCGGGGGCAGGGCCAGCACAGAGGAAGGTACCTGGCTCGGTGCTCAGGTGACTGAGCTGCACATACGGGACTGGAAGCAGGTGGACACACAGGAAAAGGCAGGTTAGTGACCCGAGAGTGCCAACTGTCAACCTTAGCTGCCTAGCAGACACTGACAGAATACCCTAAGCCAGGGATGAAGTTTGATTTTAGGGTCCCAGAGAGAAGGTGAGGCTGACTGATGCTTCAATAGCATCTCAGATGTTAACTTCTACTCAAGTACTCAAAGGTAGTAGTTTTCCCCTCCACTATCAACAGCCACCTCCCTGCTGCTTTGGATTAGAAATGGGCTGGAAGATCAGCTGCTTCCTAGGACAGGAATGAGAGAACCAGCTAGGAAATGGGACTTCTGTTCCTCCCAGTGACCCCGAGCGACACGGTGTGGGCTTTGTTGGTAGTGGATCACAGACGGGGATCACACAGCCACTCTAGACAACATGTACATGGTCTGCCAGTCAGGTACAGTGCTGGATCCAGACGCCCAGCTGCTGTCCAGGTTGTTGGCCAATAGCCATTATCCACAAATACCAAAGACAGGGGAAAACCACCCTAACGAGGAAACAGCTCTGTACCTGGGTGGAAGAGTTTTTCTTCTTAACACTCTAAGAAAGGAGCAAGTGTGGGTATTCTGTGACAAATAAGGAAGCTCAGGGGTCTCACAATACAAGGGACCAGGACAGTGGCATGTGATATGAACACATCCTTGGATTCACTCTAAATACTCTGTAAGTTCATCTGTGGTGGAGCAGGTTTAGCTGAGGACACTATTCTTTTCTTTCCAAGTGCCATTTTGTTTCTTTAAGCCAGGAGTCATTGACCAGCTGAGTTAAATGCAATCGTAATTTCAGACTCACGGCTAGGCCAACTTAAGCTGCCGTGATTGGGAACAGGGGCTCTAGAATCAGACAGAAGGGCTGAATCATGGCTCTGCAGCTGAATTGCTACCCTGGGAAACGTGGTTAGCCTCTTTGAGCCTCCATTTTTTCTTCCATAAATGACTATAGGACTAACAACAGAGCTTAACTTTTAGGATTATAAACACAGACTGTCTGGCATATAACCACTAAGTGCCTAATAAGTGTGTTAGGTCATCACACACACCCCTGAAACAGTGATTGTGATCTTCCACATTCCTCGGAGCTGCTCTCCGGAAGTCACTTTGCAAATCTTGTTGACCACTTTGGAACCAAAAGAGAATGTACTAACCTACCCAACCTAGAAATCTGCTGACGTAGATTAATGCTCCAGAAATGTTTTAGTTTCCACCTGACTTCAGGCTGGCTAGCACAGAGGTTATGCCCTGGGAACTGTGGGCTCCCACAAGATGTCAAAATGACCCCATCATCAATAAATCTTTGCTAGATGAAAAGTTGTGTACTACTCACTGTAGCCCATTCCCTGCAAAAAGTACTTGAAGGCCTCGGTGAGCTTCCCAGGCTAGGAGGGCAAAATAAGAAGGCATTAATCTTTGTACAAGCAATAAGGTACAGAGTCAAATAAGTGCTTTAAGAAATAAAAATCTTCTTACCTGAACTACTTGGGGCAGTCCACCACAGTCTGCCATCTAGAGGAGCAAAAATATGTAAGTCAGCTGGAACTCACACTTAAGGGAAATGCTCTGAATATCCATGAGTCCTTTCAAACAGGAGAGGATTGAATTTTAGGTTCCTTAACTTAATGTTTAACTGCATCCAAATATACATCTCTTCACCCTGGCTGGTGTAGCTCAGTGGATTGAGCACTGGCCTGTGAACCAAAGGGTCCCTGGTTCGATTCCCAGTCAGGACACATGCCTAGGCTGCTGGCAAGGTCCCCAGATGGGGGCATACTAGAAGGAACCACACACTGACGTTTCTCTCCCTTTCTTCCTCCCTTCCCCTCTCTCTAGAAATAAATAAATAAAATCTTTTTAAAAAATTAAAGAATTTCTTAAACAAAAACACACACAAAAATATATCTCCTCAATGCATTCTTATACAAATAACATTGGATGTAAACCTGAAAATATCATTACTTATTAATACTTAGTTAGATGCAGGGCCTGGCTTTCAGGCTCACGGTGGGAATTTTCTGTTAGAGGTATCATGAAGTTAACCACGACCATCAACCAGAGTTGACTCCATATTCTAAAGTTGACTCCATATGCCTCCCCCTGGGGAACGTTACTTTCAGGGTTCTCAGTGTGACCCTAACTTCTCAGGGTTCCATGCCTTTAAGTTCCCTTTCAACTCTATGTTATTTTTATTTTATGACTAAGGAGATTTCTCAAGTCAGGTGCTGATGTGGAATTCAGCCAGCCGCTTGGTTGGCCACTTTCCTGTTGTAGCTGGATCTGGTGAGCTGTCTCTCATTTCACAGACCTTTACAGCTGGTTAGTCTCACCTGTGCAAGGGTTTTCTAGAGCACATTCCATTAGCACGCATCAGCATTACCTTGTTAAAGGAGGACTTGTTAAAAACTGGTTCTTGAGTTCCTGCCCTAGAGATTCTGGGGTGGGGCCCAAGAACTTGCATTTCCAACGAACTCCCAGATGATGCAGGTACTGTGAGTCTGCAGAGAACTGTCTCTAGGGCATGAAGGCCAACCACGAACCCACCCTCTTCCTTCTAGCTGTTACGTGTTGGGGTCTCAGACAGTGTCCTATTCACGCTGACTGGCATTTAAAAAAAAGAGACATGAAACCCATGGCTTCTGTTCACTAGCACAAAAACTTTCCTTGAGGGAAGGACTATTATTTAGCAGATGGGATACTACAGAAGGCACAGAAATTTGAGGTTAACAAGAAACAGTCCCCTGAAAATTCTACGCATAAGAGCAGGAACAAACATTTCCCGTGATTTAAGCATAAAACAGAGCAAACTGACACAGGTTATATTTTCATGGTGCTAAGGAGTGAAAATCTGATTAGCACCATAAGCCGCTGCCACGTGCAGAGGGAGAACTCTGGGAGAGACTGTTCCCGAGCCCGCATCTACCGAACGGCAGGAGCGCTGGAGTGCTCGTGCTGCCGCCGACCGGCACTTTCGCCCGGAAATAACCACGTCTACGGTACCGTCGAGTTCGCTTTCCTGTTTTTAGAATATGGAGTCAAACCTGCAGTGAAAAACTAACTTGAAACCACATATTAAAAAAAATTCATATTTTACACTAGTTCGTCAATCAGCCGGACCCCAGAATACTCTCACCTCAGAGCAGCAACCTCACACTACGTTTCCAGGAACTATCAGCTGCTTCTGGTGACAGCGCTTCCCTTTCAAGCACACTTCAATGAGAAGGGCAGGAAGCAGGGGTGTTTCAGGCCGAGAAAGCAGCAGTAAGCAACGTAAAATCAGCACTTAAGTCTACAGTAGTCCAAATTCAAACCAGAAGGCCAGGTCCCTAAACACTTTACTAAAGGCTGTAGAAAAAGCAAGAATTTTGCTCTTGCCTGAGTACAGTCCAAAGGGGGAGAAACTTGACGCTAACCCTAAAAATTCAGTACAAGAGTTGTCCTCCATTTGCCCTAAGTGAAAGAAAATGCATCCACTCTCGTCACTGAAAGATTACTGAAGCTTCCTAAACAGATTTAACATGTAAAGAATTTCTATCCATTATCTTAATTCTCACAAAATTAAATAATGCTTATGATGTTTAAAATGACATGAGAAGATGCTCGTGTCAAGAAGTGGAGGAAAACAGACACAGGGCTAGTCATCCCATCATCTACACAAGCACAGGAAAAAGACATCAATAGTTTTACCAGAGGTTGCCTCTGTATGTAGGATGATGGATAATTTTATTTATTTTATTCTTTCTACTTTTCTGTATTTTCCAATTTTCTGCAATGAGAATATATTCCAGAAAATTTTAAAAAGAGATAATGAAAGAATCTGAGAGAGAGAGGGAGAGAGAGAGAAGCTTTCCTTCTTTCTGGGCCACCATTCCAGAAGTAGAGTGATCTGAACCATGTATATAATTTACTCACAAATGGCAAAAAGGAAAGAAAACACATTACCTTTAGCAAAGTTGTATTTATAGGATTCAGGCGAGAATTGCATTCAACCTAAAAAAAAAAAAAGAGAGAGAGTTTTACACACAAACTTCTAAAAATATAAGAAATAGCTTGGTATGAGAATGGTCTCCCAGGATCAACAGCTCAGTCTGGAGGTGGCTGAATCAGCCAAAAAAATTGCCAAAATACAAAACGGGAGTTATGTTTACATGATGCACTTTATAGCTGATATTTCTGAGTAGATCTAAAATTGTGGCTAATTTCATTTTCTGAATCATTTACAAGTAGAGTCTTTAAAGAACTATATGTGGAATCTAATTCCTCCTACCTCCTAACAGAACACTGAGGCAAGCTACCTACTTCTTTATAAAAAGTGAATTGACTAAGTGGTAATGGGAAAAATACAATAAAGACTTAAAAAGAAAAGTGAACTGGGCGTGCGGACCAGCCCTGCCCATTTCTCACCCCTTTCCTGTGCCCCGCAGGTGGTGGGTCTGCCCTCCCTCACCCCCCGACTCTCTTCTGCCTCAAGTCCCTCCGGCGGTCCCAACCGAGGCTGAGCCCTCTATGTTCTTCTCTCTCAACAGTCATCATGAGGAAGAATTACAACCTTGTGTATTTACGTTTGGCATCTTGTATTCATGTATCCACAAAAGCAGGGGCCTCAAAAAAAATGTTTTGGGAGAGATAAGCTCTAGGTTCAGCAATGTTTTCTGGCCAATTTAATCAACTGTATCTCTGTCCTACACATTTGCCAAGCATACACATACAAAACACTGCACCCTAAGAGTCTGGAATCTGGTGGGGTGAAAACATACTACAAGGTGGAATGACATCACTTCAAAAATTCACAACTGAGCTGAGTAAGTATAGAAGGATGAGGAGACTTTCTGGAGATACAGTTCAGAAGGGGTGGGAGTTTGCAGGCTTTCAGAGTCAGGGGGAGAGCATAAACAAAGACCCAAGGACTGCGGTGAAGTGAACGTGCAGAGCACTTGTGGGGTTAAAGAGGCAAGCATGGTGTGAGGGTGCAAGCAGGGTGCAGCTGGGGAGGCAGACTGAAGCTGACCAGGGAAGGAGAGAAGCCACAGGAAGTTTTTGAGACGACAGAGTTTGAGCTGTTTTAAGAGAGTAACCAGCAATGGCCTGTATGACAGACTGCAGAGGCAATGAGACAGTTAGGGAGTTACTGAAATTACCATGGAAAGAACCAGTAATCCAGCTGAACTTTTGCTCTGGCGATTGTTTAAGGGCAAGTATACAAAACTCCTATAAAATCAGGGGATGACCTAAAGCCAGAATCACCAAATCAAAGTTTTTGCTCTACACAAACAACAGTGCAGGCAGTAATTAACAAACATACCAGTTTACTAAAGAATATACATTAACCCTAAAGGGCAGAATTTAAAAACTGCCAGGCACAGTGCTTAGAACACAGCAGATATGCAATAAATATTTTCTGAAAGAATATACTCCCCAGTCTGGATTTATTATAATAGATCATGCTTTCCTTGGTTCATCACTTTATAATTTCTATAACTTTGGTAGTCTGGAAAAATGTCTACTCTCTCTCCAGCTCCCAAAATGCAGAGACTTCATCTTACTCGTTTTTATGCTTTACATAGCATTAAGCAAAAAATGGTGTTGAATGAATGTAAGCAAGAATAGCTAGCAACAGTGACCAGAATGTGTGGAATTTCTTCTTGTTCTTTCATGTATAGACAGGCCTCTATTCCCTACCAACTTGTGGGATTAAAATGTTCTGACTGGGCTCCAGCTTGTGTGGCTCAATGGATTGAGCATCAGCCTTAGAACCAAAGGGTTGCTGGTTCGACTCCCAGGTAGGGCACATGCCTGAGTTGTGGGCCAGGTCCCCAGTAGGTGGCACTAGAGAGGCAACCACACATTGATGTTTCTCTCCCTCTTTCTAAAAATAAATAAAATCTTAAAAAATAAATAAAGAAAGAATAGTATAGGAAAGGGAGAAGCCAAAGAACTTACATGCATGACCCATGGACATGAACTTGGGGATGGGGACTGCTAGAACAAAGGGGCATACCGGGCAGAGAGGGGCAAAGGGAAAGAAAATTGGGACAACTGTAACAGCATAATCGATAAAATATACTAAAAAAATTTGTCTTTCAGTAATCGGATTATGGTTTTTCCTCAAGTTCTTCTATTTTCCATTTTTTTCATATTTTCTACAATGAGCATATATTATCTACTAATGTGCTATGTGCTTGAGAAGGAGGCAGAGAAAAGCAAAGGGGCCCCAGCGGACGTCTAGCCCGCTGACACGGTTCTGGATTTACGGCGGCCACAGAAGGCTGAGGCTGCTGGCAATCCGACAATAAGCAAAAGGTGTTTACTTTTACTACAATACTTGCACTACTTGCCACAAAGTGATCTGATACCTTCTGATGAACCTAGTGATCAATGAGGAATTCATTTCCTAAACTAGATAACAAAGAGCAAGCCCTTATACATGTAATCAGAAATAATAAAAACTAGTACTGATAACCGTTTCTAGTGCACCAGCAGTATGCTATATACATTTTATTGCATTTTAATTACATTCACCTTCACATCAGGACATACTTACCACAGCCTCAACTGCGGGTGAATTGTCCCCTACCACCAATAAAGTAGAACACCTGTGGAATGCCAAAATAAGAGGAGACATTCAGCAAGTAGAACATAAGCTCCACTGAACCCTGAATTCGTCTACAAAAGGCAAAGATATCCAGCAATGTAGAGGGGAAATCGAGGGACTTACTTTAAGGTCTTTGATTTGTTATCATTTTGGCCCAGCATGGGTCTTTCAATCTCCAGGTCTCTTCGTCTAGAGGAACAGAGGAAACAATGCCCTTTTCAGGTCAAAGCATGGCAACTCCGGTTGTTTCCTGTTCGTGAATACCCAACTGTTCTAGGGAATGTAAAAACTAGCCTTCCTTCACACCTGGTGAGGGAAGGGCCCTTGTGCGCGTTGTTCACCAGCAGCCACAATGAGCCGCGTGGAGCAGGGACAGGGCTTCTGCTCAACCCGGGGCGGGGGGGGCTCTGTGGGATGTCAAAGGAGGCAACTTTGTTTTCTCCCGATTTTTATTTATTTATTGTATTTTTTCCAGTACCCTTTTGTGTCCTTATACCCCACTCACCCCCCACAATCACCACACTGTTGTCCATGTCCATGAGTCCTTTTCCATTTTTGCTCAACCCCTCCCCTGCCATTGGCTGTCATCCTGCTCTCAATCTATGACTCTGTATTTTGCCTGTTAGTTCAGTTTGTTCATTAGATTCCACACATGACTAAAATCATATGGTATTTGTCTTTCTCTGACTGGCTTATTTTACTTAGCATAATGTTCTCCAGGTCCATCCCTTCAAAGGAGACAACTTTAAAACTCAACAGAAATGCTATTGAAATAATCAAGTCCTAAGTATTTAATTCCCCAACTAGTTTATAGGAATAAATTCCCTAAGAGAAGAGAAACTTTGGGAGGTAACATTTTCTTTGTAACTGACATAGTTATTAATAAACCTTTCTGATTTCAATGGGAAAGAATGAGATTCTGTTCATGTGTTACCTTGCCTGATGACACAATGTCAGCAAAGAGAAACTGAATCAAGACCCAAGATTTCTATCATCTGTCTCCCTACACACATCTTTCTGTGCCACCTCAAACTGGGTGATTTTACGTGTGTATTTAAGTTCAGGTATTTTTTCATCTTTGAACACCTAAAAACTAGATGCTAACTGAAACTTGCCCGAAATGGCCTTCAGTTTGTACATTCTTCATGAAAGGGGTTTTCCAATCTGTCTGAAGGCCTCTACTGTGGCAAAACAACACAACAGCAATCCCATCACACAATGTTAGAAGTAGCTTATTTCCCCTTCCCCTCTCCCTTAAATGTTCATTATATTTTTAGACTTGGAGTGCATTTAAGTGAATAGGAAACAAACTGTACCCGTTATAAGAACCCAGGAAGAGCTGGAGGTTTTCTTGGTTGATATCCTGGGCAATATGCAGTCTGTAGGTCTGAATCAGGTCCAGGTTGGCCTGCAACTCTTCCTAAAACAATTTAAACAAGATACAGGTAAGCTTCTGAGCTAAATTATAAGCCTATTGTATTTGGTCTACATTCTCAATGTCCAGAATCAAAGCTCCTCGCCCATGATGGGGCTGGCTAAAATCTTTATTTGCATCAGACTGGTTCAGTGCCTCATTCTGTCTTGGATGAGGGCACCAAAGGATCTATGATGGAAAAGGCTGGTAGTCAACTCTAGGTCAAGTGCAAAACCTTGGAAATATGCTGAACGATCTACCAGCAGCACAGCGGAAAACTGCACTAGATGTGGGTTCAACTCCTAGCTGTGGAACTCAGGCAGGTCACCTAACCACTCGGGGCCCCAGTTTCCTTATCTGTGGTTTTTTTCATGTTCTGTCATTCCTCATAAAGACAGAGACAGTATCTATAAAACAAAAATAATAACCAACTACAGTGCTGCTTTCAAGATTAAGAAAAGTTATATGAACTGTCAAGTATAAAATACATGGAAAGTAACATTTCTCTTAATAGCCATAAATCTTTTTAATTAACTTACCTACATATAGCTTAACTGATATAATCAGTGTATTACCCATTTATATACTATCATTTAATAATATACATTATAGAATTATATATTATTCCATTTGACATTTTATTAAGTCAACTTATCATTTTTTAAGATTTTATTTATTTTAGAGAGGGAAGGGAGGGAGAAAGAGAGGCAGAGAGAAACATCAATGTGCAGTTGCTGGGGGTCATGGCCAGCAACCCAGGTAGGTACCCTGACTGGGAATCAAACCTGCGACACTTTGGTTCGCAGCCCGTGCTCAATCCACTGAGCTATGCCAGCCAGGGTCAATTTACCATTTAATCTTATTACCAAAATTATGAGAGTATAACATTCAAGAGGAACAAAATACAGTCAACAGTGAGTCTCCCTCCCTCCCTAACACCCACTGCTCTTGCTGGCCTCAGAGGCTGACCAACCAGTTATCAGGTTCTTGCATACATAAGCACATTTGTACATATGTGCGTACGTACACACACACACACACACACACACACACACACACCCCAGAAAGCAGTTTTAAGCAGAGGGAAAATGTATGCACTGGAGTTAAAAAATGTATCAGGGAGAGCAATGGAGTCAGTTAATCCAGGAGAGTGGGTAAAGGTCACCAACAATCCTCGTAGAGAAACTCCTTGGAGATAAGGAGAACGTTTGTTTGCACTCTCACTACCATGCAGGTGAAGTGAGCCAGGGATACAGCTGGAAACTGACCAAATGGATCAGAGTCTACCTGAAGCTGACGGGCACTGGAATCGCTCCAAGGAAACATAGTAAATGCTAAAGTATTATAGTAAGAAAAGTAAACAACAAATGAAGCACATAGCAATTAGAGATGAAATTATCTAGCCAGCTCCCTCCTGAAGGTCTGGAGAGGAACTTGAGTAGCCAAGTTTGAGATTTAAAAAAAGGGAAGAAATTATACTTGTATAAAAGGAGTAAAAGTGGCTTAAGTACTAACAGAACTTCTTAGGCAAAGCTGTTAGGTATAAATTGCCCTCTACTCACCCACCTTTTTAAAAAAACACAAATTGTTAGATTTACTGTTCTACACACTGCTTTTCCACTTAAAGCATGGCAGGGATCATTCCTTATTACAGGGCATTTGTAACTATCTCACTTACTTACACAACCTGTCTCCCCACACCCTTGGCTAGTACAAATGATCTCTCTTTTTAATTTTTGCTACTTTGATAGAAAAAAAAAGGGGATACCACTGTTTTTTTCTCATATTAGTGAAGATAAAATTATTCATGTTTTGAAACCTTATGTTTCCATTTTAAAATAAAGCAATACAAGCATTTGCTTGCTTTAATTTTAAATGAACTCTTCAGCCTTGTGACAGTCCATTGTCTATGACCTCATGTTTTGTTTTTTAAAACACTTTATTTACTTATTTTTAGAGAGAGGGGAAGGCAGGGAGAAAGAGAGGGAGAGAAACATCAATGTGTGGTTGCTTCTCATGCACCCCAAACTGGGGCCTGGCCTGCAACCCAGGCATGTGCCCTGACTGGGAATTGAACCAGCAACCCTTTGGTTTGCAGACCAGTGCTCAATCCACTGAGCCACACCAGCAAGGACACATGTTTTAAATTAAACACACATTATGTGTGTATATACATAGTGAGGATATATAGATATAAAGTGACCATATATATATAATGAGGATGTTCCTGCTTTATATAAATTATTAAAAGTCTGGTCTTAGCTTCCCCCCACTTGAAATAGTGTTTCTAACATATTTGAATGCAAATACCTCAAAGCGTCCTTCTTCCACATTAGAAGACTTTAGAAGTAACTGCTTTGGCGAATCAACCTCTCACAGGTATCCTACAAGTCTCCCCCCAGGTTATTTAACACCCCCTGAATATGTCTTATAATTTCTTTCTCATTGCTTTTGAGCAAACTATGCCCCCTTTCTGGAATGGTCTTCCTCCCCAAATCTAAAGTGTTGAATTTTTCTACCCTTCAAGGCCCAGCTAGGATACTTTCTCTACCTTGAAGATTCCCCTGATGCCCAAATCAGAAGTAAACCTCTCCTGCCTTTGAACTCCTCTAAGGCCCCTCACAGTGCCTCTCCTAAGGCACCCTGGGATGGCAGAAGAGAACAACTTCAGACTCAGGCACATCTGGCTTCAAGTCTCCTCCTAATATGGTATTAGGTGCTGACCTTGTGGAAACCAATTCATTCTCCACCTGTAAAGTGGGAATAATACAATACCCATTATGAGATTATTAGGCTGAGTTGATTAAGTATATTAAAACATCTATCTGAAATTTGAAGGTACTCAATGAAAAGTAGTTCTTACTACTTATCCCTTTTTACCTGGGCTGTAACAGTATTATATACCATATTTTGTCATGTATAATGCACTTCTGTGTACAATGTGCACCCATGTTTTCTGCAAAAATTTGGGAAGAGTCTTTTGTTTTAATTTTTAATTCAATTTTTATTTATTTATATTTAGATACTTGCTTCTTTGTATTATAAAGGAATTTTAGCATTTATTTTTGAACATATTATGGTGCAAGAAATTTTATGTAACAAATAATTACAAAACACAAGAACAGATATAATAAAAAGTATTTTAGGTACTACCCATGTATAATGAGCATTATGGGATGGAAAGATCATGGTCTTTGAGAATTCCAATTAAAGATGTTGGATTAAAACACAACTTTATTCCTTCAAGAAAAATAACAGGCCCTGGCTGGTAGCTCAGTTGGTTAGAGAGTCATCCAAAAATAATAATAATTTTTATATCTGTAAAGATATTTGAGAAATTTACATAACCCCTGAATATTAGTTTTTCATCCTTAAAATAAGAAAATCACTATCTCACATGGTTGTTATGAAGATTAGATGAAAATGGGCAAAACTTTAATAAACTTTATAAGCAGTTGATGCTAACCTTCACCAGGTTTATATATAAACACATTTATAGATCTAACAGATTACTATATTCTACCTAACTCAGAAATATCCATCTCTCTGAACTACATCATGCTTTATTTTTACAGAAATTAGATGAAAATTTCAGGAATACTAAGAGAATGAGACCAGTCATACCGAGTCATGTGCTTTTTAATCCAAATCAGATACAATGCTAAAATAAAATGTTCAGCCCTCAGCCTGAAGTTTTGAAACTTCAGTGGCCTCCATGGTCCCGAGACCCCAAGTGTGGGTTGCTGATGTGGTAACTGAAGCAAGAGAAGTGGTGGACGAAGAAAAGTTACCCAAATCCTACGGCTACTCTCGATTATGGACCATTTGTTAAACTCTCAGCAGAGAGAGGGGGTATTTAATCTTTTTATTTCCCTCCCTTAAACCCATTTTGACATGTATTACTTTGCTTTATTTGGGACAAAAAGAGATAAGTTACTCCCTAAGCTATATTGAAGGACATACTTCTCAAAAGAGTAAGCAAACAGAATTATTAAGGAGATATTATGAATAATTACGTCAACAAATTAGCTAACCTAGTTGAAATGAAAAATTCCTAGAAAGACACAAACCACCTAAAGCGTCTCAAGAAGAAATTTTAAAATCTGACTGGATCTATAACAAGAGATTACATTACTAACACAGCCCTGACTGGTGTGGCTCAGTTGGTTGGGTGTCATCCTACAAAGCGAAAGGTCTTGAGTTTGATTCCTGGTCAGAGCACATGCCTGGCCTGCGGGCTCAGTCTCCAGTCGGGGTACGTATGAGAGGCAACCTACCAACCAACCGATTAACATTTCTCTTACACTGATGTGTCTCTCTCTCTCCCTCTCTCACTGCCCCCCCCTCCAAATAAGCAAGTATCTTTAAAAAAAATAAATTAGTAACATAAAATCTCCCCATAAAGAAAAGCTCTGGGCCAGATGTTTCAATGTGAATTCTACCAAACATTTCAAGAATCAACAGTAATCCTTCTCAGCTCATTCTATGTGGCCAAGTACTACCCTGATACCAAAACCAGGCCAAGACATTATAAGAAAACTACAGACCAGTAGTCTGTATTCCTCTGAATACAGACACAAAAATCCTTAACAAAATTCTAGCACACCAAATATCACATATAATAAGGATTATATTACACTCGATGAGCAAGTAGAATTTATCCCAAGGTTACAAGGTTAGTTCAACATAAAAACAACAATAAATGTAATACACCATATTAAAATAAAGGACAAAAGTCACACATACATCTTTTTTAAAAAAGGTTTTATTTATTTCTTTTTAGAGATAGGGGGAGGGAAAAAGAGAGGGAGAGAAACATCAATGTGTGGTTGTCCCCCACACACTCCCCACTGGGGATCCAGCCAGCAAGCCAGGCATGTGCCTTGACCAGGACTCGAACCAGCAACCCTTTGGTTTGCAGGCCAGTGCTCAATCCACTGAGCTGTACCAGCCGGGGCAACACATACATCTTCATAGACAGAAAAAAGTGCTTGACAGAACCCAGCACACTTTCATGATAAAAGGATCCACCAAACCAGGAATAAAAGAGAACTTCCTCTACCTGATAAAGGACATTTATGATAAATACACAGCTAACATCATACTTAATATTGAAAGACTGAATGCTTCCTTCTAAGATCAGAATCAAGACAAGAATGTCTACTCTCAGCACTTCTACTCAACAGTGTACCAGAGGTTCTAGTCAGGGCCTAGAAAACTCTGTTTAGTCAAGAAAAGAAATAAAAGGTACCCAGACTGGAAAGGAAGAGGTAAAACTATGTCTATTTGCAGATAACATGACCCTGTATACAGAAAAATCCTAAAGAATCCACACAAAAAAATTTAAACTAATAAAAATCCAGTAAGGTTGAAGGATATAAAATCAATATGCAAACATTAATTGTATTTAGGTTAATTTCCTGGAAATGATAAAACGGAGACCACAGGCTCAGGCAGCAGTGGATATACCACACTGAAAACAGGAGAGTTTAATGAAATTTTAAAGCCCGGATGTTGAAGCCCTCAGTCTTTTTTCTGCATTTGGGTCCAAAAATACTAATGTAAATGTCTGGGGTATAATCTCAAAATTAATCTGGGGAATCTGACTAATCCCAGAGAAAAAATCTGAAGGTGCTGACATCAGGGGTTCCCCAAGGAAACAGCCAGTCTGACTGCCTACAGCGATAAGCCTGACCCGGTGCACACAGGCCTTTGAGCGATCCACCCTCACGAAATACGGAGGCCAGCCAGGGATCAGTAGCCATTTGGGAAAAGCACCTGTGCCAGTCATCAGTTTCTGGTTTCTCAGCCTCAGATCTCCCATTCTTCGTACTACAGAAGGTAGCCTGCACAAACATCTTCCCTCTGCCAGTCCTTTTTTAAAATTCAGCACAGGAGCCAGCAGCTCAAGGTGTCAGGAACCCTCACAAGACCGGCTGCAGTTACACCCTCAGCCCACACTGTCCCCATCCGACTGCAGCTTCTGCGGCAGCGCAGATCTTGTTTTAGACAAATGTCTCCCCCATCTGGTAAGTGGCTCGAAGGCTCAGCGATGGCCCTCATACTCCTGCAAATTTCTTCACGAGTGGTTGTCTGTTCGAAGAAGCCCGACTCCCCAGCTTGGTGGGAGAGGCCCAGCTAAGTTAGTTCCTTCAGTGTCCACATTCCCTCAGGCTAGAAGCAGCAGCTACTTTTAGACCCTCTGGAGTCCTCCTTCACCTCTCTGAGAGATTAACCACCATCACTAGTTAACAATAATTTATTTTAAATGTTCTCCAGTGTGTGCTTTCACAGCCCACAGGATGGAAAGTGTGACTGCTGAGTCTCACTAGGCCCTCTGTATGCCAACCCTGATTCCTGTGCTAAATTAATAAAAAGGGCCAGACCCTGGAAAGGAAGTGCCTTCCTCGCATTGTCACCTTGCAGTGTCTGTCCCATATTCTTTATTCATAAATTCTAGCACTGTCAGCTGGCAAAGGAGAAATGCTGGACAGAAAAAGAAAGCAGTCATGGCTCAGCTCTGAATAATATTTACATAGCATGACAGTGTAAATGCTGGAAGTTGAGCTAATCCAAGTTACGCTACTTTGGGAGGATGGAGCGATGGAAAAATCATCTTCCAAAATGGAAAGCCAACAGATAATGTCTCCAGCTAAAAACTCAACAAGTAGAAGTATGTGAATATTTGGAGAGGTAGGCAAAGGAAATGAGTGCACATATTCAAAAAGACATGTATGAGAATGTTCATAGCAGCTTTACGCATGAGAGTAAAACAAACAACACCCACCAAAACTAGACATAACCCAAATGTTCACAGGAGTGCTACACAGTAATAAAGAGAATCAACTAATAATACACAGAATGCCATGGATGAATCTCAAAGACAATATATCGAAAAGGAAGCCAAATCCAGAAGAGTGCACACTGTGTGATTCCATTCACGCGAAGTTCAAGAACAGGCAAACTAATCTTTGGAATTAACAACGAATACCTTGTTTGGGGAAGGGTATTAGTGAGTAGGAATAGGCAACAGGGAACTTTTTTGGGGTGATGAAAATATTCTCATCTTTATTTGCCGGCGGCTCCATGAGAGCACACGTACATAAAAGGTCACTAAGATGCACTGATGATTTTCCCCCTTTGTGTAAATTACACCTCAATCAAAGAGAAAGCAATATGGAGGTGAGCCCAAAACAGCTAAAAGAATCTAAGAGGCTGGAAATACAGTGTGTGGCAGATTCTTTGTGTTAAGCCCTGTAGAACTTCTCTATTCTGAAAGATATGAATTTGTAACTTTGATAAAATATAATCTAAATAAAAGACTATGGCCCTGACTGATGTGGCTCAGTGAGTTGAGTGTCACCTGGCAAACTGAAAGGTCACTGGTTTGATTCCTGGTCAAGGCACATGCCTGGGCTGTGGGCAAGGTCCCTGGTTGGCTCCACTGATGTTTTTCTTGCATATCAATGTTTCTCTCCTCTCTCTTTTCCCCTCTCTCTAAAAATACATAAATAAAATCTTAAAAAAAAAAAGACTATGAACTTGGAGTTAATCTGACCTAGACTCAAACAACATGCTAGCTGGATAATGGTGGCAAGTTATGCCGCCTTTCTGGCCCTCAGTTTCTCCACCTTAAAATAAGTCTAATAGAACCATGTGAAAAATAACTGAGTTTGTGCCTTAAAGGACTTGTCAAAATGCTTTACACATTATGAGGACTCAGTAAGTGCCAGTTTTCTCCCTCCTGCCATTTTCTTTACAACACAGACTACAGTTGAAGGTGCATTACTCCTGCCTATTTTTCCTCATCTCTCCACAGCAGACACCTCGCAGCTGTCCAACCTCACTGCTCATTTACTCTCTCTCTCTTCCACAGGCCAGAGGATTTGTAATAAGAAACATATATTTGATGTACATCCTGTTTCTGACACAGAGCTCCTACACTAGTAATTTTCAAAGTAAAAAGAGCAATAAATGTATCAATGAGGTGACTTTTGGATAGCTCCTAAGTAACTTCTAGATGGGGGGCTGGTTGCCAGGGAAACCAATCAAGTGATTAGAGAGTTAGAACCTTCAGTCACCCCTGACCTCTGGGGGGGAAAAAGGGGGCTGGAGATCCAGTTCCGTGGTCATTGGCCAATGATTTAATCAATCAACACAGGAATGACACCTTTGTGAAAACCCAAAGGGCCCTGCCAAAAGGGCCCTGGCTGGTGCAGTTCAGTGGATTGAGCGCGGGCTATGAATCAAACGGTAGCCGGTTCGATTCCCAGTCAGGGCACATGCCTGGGTTGCAGGCCAGGTCCTCAGTGGGGGCCACGTGACAGACAACCACACATTGATGTTTCTGTCCCTCTCTTTCTCCCTCCTTTCCCCCCTCTAAAAATAACTAAATCAACACTTAAAAAAAAACCCCAAAAGGACAAGGCTCAAAGAGCTTCATGCTGGTGAACATGAGGAGGCTCTGAGAGAGGGGTGCGTTCTGAAGAAGCATGGAGGCTCTATGTCCCTTTCTACATACTGTGCATCTCTTCCCATCTTATTATCCCTGAGTTATATCCTTTAAAAATAAACCAGTAATCTAGAAAGTAAAATATTTCTCAGTTCTGTGAGCTGCTCTGGCAAAACCAAGGAGGGGGCTGCTGGAACTTCTGATCTAGAGCTGGTGCATCAGAGGCAAGGTGAGGAGCTGGCCTGGCGACGGGTGTCTGAAGTTAGGGTGGCAGGCAGCGGGGTGGTGTTGCAGGGCCGAGCCCTTCACCTGTGGGGTCTGATGATCCCTCCAGGCAGACAGTGTCGTAACTGAGATGAACTGTAGGAAACTCAGCTGCTATCTAAGAATTGCTTGGTGGTGTGGAAAATATACACACTGTAATTGCTGTCAGAACTGTATTATTCAATTCACTTCTGTCTCTGAGAAAAACAAAACAAAGCAAAACTGGGATTCCCTCTCTTACTCAACAGTTATCCATGTAACTGTTCTTCCTCTGGAGACTTCAGTTTCCTCACCAGTAAAACATGGGGATTGAACAAGACAATCTGTAAGGTTTTTTTAACATTAACGTTTCTTGGTTTCTTTTTTCTCTGAAATTTCTATTCCTGTGAAGCCTTTCCCAGGTCACATGATGGCCCTAAAGATGTTTGGCAAGGCATGTGATGTTGTCAAACATTAACAGATGGCATACTGCTCACAGGAACAGGTAGGGGTGTGTGTGTGTTGGAGGCGGGGGGATTGGCTGCCCTCTCTCATTGCTCTCCAAATGCCAAAAGCTGCGTGGTATCAAGTTACCTTTTCTCTAAGACTAGACTTTCCTGGGCCATGTGTGTCTCCACTGCATTGGGGTACTACCCACTAGGATCAGGTAAATTCTCAGGCACCCCTTCTTTGCATGTAAGCCAATAAACACAACTCTCCAGGCTGCAATAGACACTTACCTGCCCAAAGTGATGAGCCAAAATAATGTCCACAACATTGGTTGTCAGGCCTGAGATCTAAAAAGAAAAATTTTGTGTCAAGGGAGTAAGTAAGCATATGCACAAATCTATCAAGCTGTCCACTTAAGATTGGTCCCCACTAATTACGTGTCATCCTTAACAAACAAAAGCACAACTCGGCGTCGCACACTTTCGCGAGTCAGTGGTTTCAAGAGGCATGAGAACAAGAAACAAGTCAGAAAAAATGAAGAGTCTCCTTCCCAGGGTAATAATAGACTGATTTGATGTTAGTGGCTGGAAGAAATGGGGTCATAATTTCTTTGAAAACTTCAAAGTAAGAAGTCACAGCTCTTAGTTACTTCATTCTTGTCTGTATTTCTGTATTTACACTGGATTTATGGATAATAATAATCAATTTACAACCATTCCCAAGTCATCTAAGAGACAGAAACAAATTTCTTTCTTTTTTCCAGTTTTTGCTATTTTTGTTTCAGGGAGTGAGAGGTAACTGGTATGTTTACTGAATGTTTCTGCATTTTTAACATTTTTCTCCTAATTTTTCTCATTTCAAAACAATAACATACTCTAATAAATGCAGCAATCTGTATAAATCTGCAGACTATTTTCAGTAAAATTCCCAAGTCAAATTATGTTGTTGATTCCCTTAAGCCTTCTTTGGTGTATTAAACACTTACAGTCATTTAAAAGCACTTGGAGGTAGGTATTGGCTTAAAAATGAGATTATTACATAAAGCATCTTTTAGGAAGCGATGAAAGCTTAGGTTATTTGTCTCTGGGACACTTCATAACATCACTGAATTAATCTAAAACCTATAATTTTTTATTAAAATAGCATACTAATAACATCTGTACTTCAGCAGGAAAAAAATGTTTTAAAACCACCTTCCTTTCCAACCTAAAAACAGTGATTTTTTTTTTTTTTGGCACAGGTTAATTCAATGTAAATGGGGATATAATGCTTTCCCCCTTACTCCTTTTTTTTCTCTCTGGTTGTTATTGGGATTGCTTATATTTGTAAAGTCATTAGCATATCCTGTAGTTTCCTATTCCCAACAGATCTTAGATAGAATTCTATTTGGATAGCAAATACCTTCATTTTTCAGAGAGCAAACAGTACAACCCACACACATCTTTGGGAGCAGTAACACAGATAAGCTATTTGGGTTCAAGGAAGAGAGTAATTCATTCATTCATTTCATTCATTAAAGGAGTGAAAATGCAAACCACAGGTTGGGAGAAGATATTTACATGTACCCAGCTAAGGAGTCATATGTAGCCCTGACCAGTGTGGCTCAGTCAGTCAGGCATCTTTCTGCTAAGTGAAATATCACCTGTTCGATTCCCGGTCAGAGCACTGCTGGGGTTTCGGGTTTGGTCCCTGGTTGGGGTGCATGAGGGAGGCAACCCATCAGCACTTCTACTCTCTCCTTCTCCCTCCCTTCCCCTCTGTCTAAAAAATAAATAAATAAAACCTTAAAAAGGATTCATACATAGAATATATATAAAGAACTTTTTACAGGTCAATAGGAAAAAGACCAGCAACCCAATTTAATTAAAAAAAAAAAAAAAAGGGCAGAAGACTTGAGAGTCACTTTGTAAAATGATATTCAAATGACCAATAAGTTTTCATTTTTATTTTTACAGAGAGGGGAAGGGTCCAGGGAGAAAAGGGAAGGAGAGAGAGGCCTCTTGTCCACACCCTGACTGGGGACCAAACCCACAACCCAGGCATGTCCTCTGACTGGGGCCCAGCAGGTCCGCGCCCACCAACTAAGCCACACAGGTCAGGTCAAATGGCCGAGAAGTTTTAGAACAGGTGCTTGACATCATGGGCCCTTAGGGAAATACAAATTAAAACTGTGCTTTATTTATCCATAAACATAGCTTAAAATAAAAAAAAGCTACAATTAAAAATTGCTTTTTAATAACAAAAGCTATTTTGGTGATTGACACTATATAAAAACAACTTAATATTACACAAATAAAACTAATCATCTTTTATAAAAATTAAAAGAACTATCAAATGGTCAGTATGCAGAATAGCTGGAACTTTCATGCGTTGCTGATGTGTAAGTTGGCCAAACACTTTGGAACACTGGAAGTTATCTACTACAGATAAACAGACAATAGCCCCATGACCCAGCAATACCACTCCTAGGCTTAGATCCAAACGGAATGAATGTGCACGCCTATGGAAGACAGGCAGAAGAATGTGCACGGGAGCTTTATTCATAGTAACACGTAACAACTCATTTTGTGAATTCATACAATAGTCTAAACAACAATTAAAAAGAACTATATACAACGAAAATGAGACAGATAATAATGAATATTTCTTCAAAGATTTTATTTATTTTACTTTCAGAGGGGGAGAGAGGGAAAAAGAGAGGGAGAGAAACATCAATGTGTGGTTGCCTCTCATACACCCCTCTACTTGGTGGCTTGCAACCCAGGTATGTACCTTGACTGGGAATCAAACCAGAGACCCTTTGGTTCGCAGGCTGGCACTTGATCCACTGAGCCACACCAGCCACGGCCAATAATGAATTTAAAAAGCTATAAACAAAATAATATATATTCTATTATTCCAGTTATATGAGAATATAATTGATAAAACCATCTGTGGTATTTGAAGTCAGGGTAATGGTTATTTTTAGGAAAAGGGAGAGGAAGTATTAATTAAGAACAGAGCTGGAGTCCTGATCAGTGTGGCTCAGTGGGATGGTTGTTCATCCCACAACAGAAGGGTTACAGGTTCAACTTCTGGGCAGGGCACATGCCTGGGCTGCAGGCCAGGTCCCCAGTTGGGGGCATGTGAGAGGCATCCAATTGATGTTTCTCTCTCACTCCCTTCCCCTCTTCTCTAAAAATAAATAAGTGAAGTTTAAAAAAAATTTTAAAAAGAAAAGAGCTAGAAATATTCCGTAGACTGAATGGGTGTGATTATAAACGTAAACATTCAACAAGATGTATACTTAAAACTTCTCGATTTTAACTATATAGCACTCAAGGGAAAAATAAAACAGGTAAGCCACTGTGAGAAGGGACCGAGACATGAGCCAACAGACGGCACTTGGTGCTTACTTTGGAGGCTGCCCAGTCAATCCAGCCTTTGGCGCAGGGGTCAACGTTAATGAGGACAAGGCCTTCCACAAGTTCTGGATGATTGAGCTGAAGCAGAAGACAAAAACAAGAAGTATGAAAGTTCCACTCCCAGCATTGTTCTAAAAATAACTAGAACATAGTTAATTAATTCTTATTATGTCTTAATGCCTCGGATTTGAAAGTAAGTCTTCGAAGATATGCTAGGGAGGCTACACACACAAAAAATAGGTTTTTAAATCTGATTTAGCACCTGGAAAACCAGTTTCTTCAATTGCTGTCAAATCTATGGAGGAGACAAAGATTTCCACAGCAAATGAAGGCACCTGGTGTGTCTGCAGCTGATTAGCTCACAGTGGGTCTTCCCTGCCGAGGGAAGCGCCTTGAGTGAGTTGGCATAAGGGGCTGCTAAAGCTTAAACTGGCTATTTGACACTCAATAGGGGCTTCTTAAGTTTTTTTCAAATCACATGAATAGGTGATATAACCCCCCCCAAAATGTTCTCTCACCCAGGAATCATTTGAAAAATGTTTCTTAAATAAAAATCAATAGAAACATTTCTATGTAAGCTGAAAACTCTCTAGCTTACTATTCTTCCTCCTCTGATTACACTGATTATGCACACGATAGGAAATTTGATAACCAGAGAAATTATAAAAAGCAGAAAATGAAATTTCCTATTATCTTATCCCACAATGCCAATCCCTATAAATATTTTGGTGTATTTCTAGTCTTTTCCTATGCCAAACTTATGTGAGTCTGTATTCTTTGTTAATGTTGTATTATACATGAATCACATCAATACAAGCTCTTCTTAAAAATTTTAATGGCTGTACCAAATTCTATCATAACTATTCTCTAAAAATTACTTTTTATTGATTATGTACTGCCTTCATTTGTGATTTTTCAGGTGCTGTAAGCATAAAGCAAGGCTTTATACTACCCTGTATCTGGAGCTGACAGAACTGATAAAAAACTGACACCAAAAGCACAACAGTCCCTGGTCACCCAGCACAGCAGTAGGAGCTGGTCTAGGCAGTGTCTCGGGGGTATCGAGAGAAACCTCCATGTACTTACCGCGAATTTGCTGAGGATGTACGCTCCAGCTCCGACTCCAATCCCAATGATGCTTTTCACACTGAATGAAACACACAAACACGGACAGGGTTAACTCACGTCGGGGGAGCACGGCAAAAATGGGCGGCATACAACTGAGTTCAAATTCTGGCACTGATGCTTGTCAAATAGAGAATTTGGTCGAATTTCTTTAACTTCCTGAGCCTCACTTAGTTCCCTATCTCTAAAACAAAGATATGACCACTTATTTCTAAGTTGATTTTAAGGGTTGAATGAAATGATTAAAACCTGGGGGTCATACTTGACAGCTCATTCTCCTATCACCTCCATGTCTAACCCATCAAGTCCAATAGAGTCCACCTTCAAAGTGTTTCCATCTGTCTCCGTTAACTTCACACTGCCCCCGCGCATCATACAGTATCAAGCTATCATCATTACCCCTTGCCTGACTGGTCTCCCTGCTTTTTCCTTCATTCCTCTAGAACCCACTTTCTCCACAGCTAGAGTAATCCTCTTTAAAAAATCATAAAACAGCTTTACTGATACCAATTTACATATCTAGTGTGGCTATTTTAAAAGACTAAACTGGATTATCACTCTCTTTAAAAGCCTTCAGCATTTTTTTTTTCTTTTGAATGAAATCCCAAAATTTTACCTGATCTGTGAGACCTATGTAATCTGGTCCTTGCCTATTTCTTGAATTTTACATATATTTCTCTGACCTGCTCATTTGGTCTAGGACTTTTGGACATACTAATTCTTCTGTCTGGACTTCTCTTGCCCTGGCTCTCTGAGTCTCAGACTAGATGATATCTTTTTAGAGAGGCAACCCCAAACAGCTTTGATACAGGGATATCTGATCAGATCACTGGGGAGGAGGAGGAGGAGGTTGCCCAGGGCAATGCTAAATAGTGTAGGATTGGCTGAGAAGCTGAATGTCTCCAGAGCGCATGTAACTATGGGCCAGAAGATTTAAAATAAAAGAAGGGCTCCCAGGCCTGGCTGGTATGGCTCAGTGGATTGAGCATCAGCCTGCAAACCAACTGAGTTGCAGGCCAGATTCCCAGCTGGGAGCATGCAAGAGGCAACCAGTTGGTGTTTCTCTCCCTCTTCCTCCTCCCCTCCCCCCTAAAAGTAAATAAATAAATAAAATATTTTCTAAAATAGGTCTCTCTGCCTTTCTTCTTCCTCAGGGATGCCTGGATGATCGTGCTGCAGCTGCCTGCGTTTTCTAACAGATGGGAAGGAACTCTGGGCACAGCCTAGGATCGGGATGGCCTGGTGGAGGGTGGCAGGATTATTCTTCTTTGGGTGTTCTAGAGGGGACAACTTCTGAGGCAGAAGCCTGCCATTTTTCCAAAATTGTGTAGCTTTTGTATCTTACGTTGTTGTAGTTTGTAAATTAAATTTAACAAGAGGAACCCTGGCCGGTGTGGCTTGGTGGATTTAGCACGGACCTGCAAACCAAAGGGTCGCAGGTTTGATTCCCAGTCAGGGCACATGCCTGGCCTGGGGCCAGGTCCCCAGTAGGGGGAGTGCAAGAGGCAACCACACTTTGATGTTTTTTCCTCCCTTCTCCTTTGTCTAAAAATAAATAAATAAAATCTTTTTAAATAACAGGAGGAATGCTAGAAAAACTCAGGTTAAAAACTCAGCCTTAACTGATAGGCTTCAGTGATTAAAGCTGTAAGTGACTAATATATGCAGAAAGCTGTTCTTCCAAAATTGAGTTGTTTTTGAATAAAGACTCCTTTCCTTTATCACCAAACCTGTGCCTCCTGAATTTTGCCTAGAGGGTGGTGGCGGGCAGCAGGACCCCACTTACTGTTTGGTAACAGCTTTATCTATGTGGATCCTGCCTTTACTTTTATCACACCATCTCCACTGACGTTTATAGCACTTTAGTTGTGATTATTTGTTTGCTTACTTGTTAATTGTTTCCCCCACTAAGATGTAAGCTCCGGGAGGGTGGTAGTGACTATTCTGTCAGATACATAGTAGAAAGTACACAAAAAATGTGTGAGAGAACTGAACAGGGAACTGACCTTAAGTGGGTAAGAACAGGAGGCAGCATTTCAGCTAGCTCATCCATCGTGGGGTACTGGTACCTGAAATCCAGAAGGATACCACCTGAATTAGAATGCAACCATATTTTACAATTACAAGAACAGCTAGAAAAGTACAGAGTTCTCAGATGAAAGCATCCTCTTTATCAAAGGAGGTGATGTGGAGTCTGGAAATGACTGTGGCATATTGTGAAACTTCCTATAACTGCTGTACTAAATAGAAGGCAAAAGAACCTACATGTTTCTATGTCCTCAAAAGCAGTCTCTTGGCCCTGGCTGGTGTGGCTCAGTGGACTGAGCGCCAGCCTGTGAACCAAATGTCACTGGTTCAATTTCCAGTCTGGGCACATGCCTGGGTTGTGGACCAGGTCCCCAGTTGAGAGCCTGCGAGAGGCAAATGATTGCTGTTTCTCTCATACATTGATGTTTCTCTCCCTCCCTTCCCCTCCTTCTGAAAATAATCCTGGACCAGAGGAAGCCATTTGAGAAGAATAGGTAATATGGCTCTTTCTCAGGGCATTTCCAAATCCCTAACAATCACTGTAACTGGGGTTCAGTCTCGGTAAACTTCCAGCAGTGAGAATCAACTCAGGAAGTATCTCTTGGTCTGCTGCTTATATCTAGGCAGCTGAAAGTAAAAGTAAATAAAGCTTTACTAGGCTTAAGCATAGTCACAAATCCTGGGCTTTTTATTATGAATGTTACTTGTTTTACCTAGGCATAAGACAATAGGTTTACTTGTTTAATGCCTTTGAATTTGGTTTAGGATATGAACCACTGGATTATAAAATGGTCAAGCACACCCAGGAGGGGATGCAGACTAGACATCCAAGAAAAGTAGGAAGCACCTAGAGATTACAGACTCAAAGATTCTCTGCTTGGAACTCTTGAGCAATGGAGTGCTTTTTAGCCATCTGTGCACAAAATAGAAAAAAGCAACAGGCCCTGGCTGGGTAGCTCAGTTGGTTAGAGTGTTGTCCCAATACACCAAGGTTGTGTGGGTTTGATCCCCAGTCAGGGCACATGTAAGAATCAACCAATGAATGCATAAATAAGTAGAACAACAAATTGGTATTCTTCTCTCTGTTCCCCCTTTCTCTCTTTCTAAAATCAATCAAAAAAATAAAATAAAGGAACGGGATCCAAATCTTATTGGATACAATAAGCTGGTCACTGGCCAATTTGTGTTTGAGACAGAATAGCCCGAACATGACAAGGTCAGTAACAGGGACTCTGGAGTCATTCTGCCCGGGTTAAACCCCCACTCTGCCGCTTGTTACGTTATCTTGGCCAAGCATTTGCTACCTCTGGGCCTCGGGTTTTTTACTTGTTAAATGGAGTAAGAGTAAACCTATGTTATAGGGTTGTGAGAGTTAAATGGCTTAATAAATGTAAAGTATTTAAAGCTGTGTCAGGAATATTGTTTAAGTGTTAGCAATTATTTGCCTGCAACGGTCTATTTCACAGCAGCCACTGGCAAGGCAGCTCTGGAGATGAGTAAAGGCACAGGGAAGAATTAGCATTCCACAGCTGGTGCTTTCACTCCCCCTCCCAAGGTCTTCTCACTAATCCCATCATGCGGGGGAGAACTCGGGAGCCTCTGGCTCCGCCTCGCAAAGCAGATTTAGGATGAGGCTGAGAGCTCCAAGTCTAGTAAAAACGCACCTCGACCTGACAGGGCAGATGCTCAGATAAATGGTTACACAGATATTTGAATTCCTATCACGAGACTGAGAGGTAAAGGTGGGGAGATACTCCTAGGAAGCTCAGAAGGATCTGAGTTTGGGCCTAGGTAACACAAAATGACAGATTTAAAATAGATGAGGAAGGAAACAGATACAGACCATGAGGAGTGGGTGTTCCAGACACTTCTGCCTAGCAATTACAGGGAGACAGGTTCCCGTCCACAGACAGCCCTTTCTGGATATGGGAAAACATGCAGTTTTTCTCAACAGACTGTATGTACGTGACAGTCCTCTCAGAGCAAGGCAAGGAAATAATGAGGACGGCTGGTTGATAAGTACAATTTGTAGGCTGTGCTAAAATCAGCTGGGAAAGGAAACACACACTACTTCTCCCTCTAGAACTCAGGCATTTGCTCGTGAGTACATGACTTCCAGAAGACCTTGCTTGCCACCTTACCCTGTTGGGAAAGAGGGTGCACCTTCCTGCTGGCCTGGGGCATCCACATGACAGACAGCAAAGTGCTGAGTGATCTCCTGCATATCCTCAAAGTTAAAGAATGCATTGAAACAGGATTTATCTGCAATAGCAAAGAGAATCGTGAGTCACAGGCCTTCCGTTTCTCCTTAATTTTCTTCTACTGATCAATTTTGTATTTTTGTCCTCTTTCATTCCCTTTTAATCACTGTCCCACTAACATGAGGTGTCTGAACAATCTGTCTGATTCAAGCTGCCCTAAAGGCTGAATACCAGACATCTCAATGACCTGAAAAGAACTAATTCTCAGTTCTACCCAATGTCTACAAAGTGGAAACCAATTCTGGTGTTGCACAAGATAATCTTATACTCGTAATGCTGTTATTTTTCATGTATCTTATTCTTCAATCTGACACAGAGACATTGATTATATCCCAAGAACCTGGCTACAGCAAGTACCTTGGGCTGCTCACATTCAGTATGTGGAAGGCTGTCTCCTATAAAAAGGGCTGGGGTTCAGGAACAGGCTGCTGCTTCAACTGCCAGCCTTTTAGTACAACTGCTTAAATTGCTCTTCTACAAAAGCTCTAGCACTAAACTGTAGCCTCAAGTGCAGACCACCTCTGAAAGCCAGAGAAGCGTGACAGAGAATGTATGTATACAAACTGTGTGTGCCTATGGCTAGGGCCAGCATCTTATACAACCACCTAGAAAAGCCCACTAAAGTCACTGATGACAGGCTGTAGCAATTCATTAAAGACTTCACCACAAAGTCAAGTTCAAAACCTGGATTTGCTAACTTGAAATATGAAAAAGAAAAAAAATCAAAGTTTAGACTTAAAAAGAACCTGATTTTAGTTCTACTTTCTTGACCAGTTCATCACATAAAGTTCTTTAGTAGATACAACACAGAGCTGAGGTGTAATTCCAGTACCCCCCAGATGAATTCTCCTGCACACTTCCGGGGAACCTGAATCCTGCCATTAACACTAAGAGGGAAGGTTAAGGCAGAGAGAAGAAAACCTATGCTCTATTAGAGTACCAGGACCTGTTATGTGTGTGTGTTTAAAATATATGTAGATTAAATACAATACAAAGGGAACATATAAAATGAAATACATACGGTTGAGGCCAATGTCATGATATGTCAGAATAACTGGTCTGTTTCCTCTCGGTAGGCCCCTGACAGTGACGTGGACCACGCCATGAGTTGTTTCTATGTCATGTTCCTGGAAGAAGAGAATGTGAGGTCTCAGCAAAGGCAGAAAGGACTTCCCAGGTTGCCGAAGTTTCACAATATGTGATTCACAGCTGTTTCCCACTAGCTGCGGCAGGACACATCACTGAACTACAAGCATACCAGGGAGATGTTATATTATACAGAAGATTCCTACTTTCTAATTTCTTTCAGATAAACTAACAAATAAATGAGGAAAAATATACCTTCTTATCCACAAAACTCACTTTCTTAAGTGGGGGAACTCGAGAATCTGTTGAGAATATATTTGCAACTGGCTATGGAAAGGAGATGGACAAGTGGACTAAGGACCCAGTAAGACCCGGGAAAGAAAAGCGAAGGGAGCAGAAGATACAAAGTTGCTGGGTAAAAAGCCAGAGGCTTCAGAGCCTCTTCATGTATGATCCGTAGGCACCTATGGGTGCATATGCCTGAATTTCTCCCCTTCCTAGGAGCTGCCATTCAGTCTCACCATGCATTACAAGAGCGGCTCTCGCTGCCAGAGTCACAGACTGTAACCTTATGGCCACGGCTAACTGGAGTCGGGTGGACATCTGGTCCATGCTGGGTCAGCTTCCTTCCCTGAGGATTTGTAATGGCCACTAAGAGATTCCATCCTTAGCTTGGTTATTCTCTAGAACAGAGATGTGAACTGGGAGCTTATATTAAGCATTTTCACTGCTCTAATTCCTGGTTCCAGCTTAATTTCCCAGATATCCCTGCATGGCCTCTGGTTTAAACTAGCTTTTGAGTGGGCTTGTCCCCTGTACCCCAAAGGATCCTAACCAAAGCAATGAGTAAAGTTTAAGACGTAGTGAGAGCAGAGCTCCGGAACTGAACAAAGCTGGAACAAAATGCAATCAGAGCTGCTAAGACCAGCACTAAGAGTGTCTGGGTGTAAAGAGACTGTAGATAGGTTAACAGATTTATTCTAGTCTCCCTCAAAGTCTGTATTTCTCAAAAATAAGAAATTATCATGTGTAGTCTAGTGAATTTTTGCTGACAAAGTCATCCACATCTATCTTAGAAAGTCTTAACAGTGGATAAGACAAAATTTACTATGTCAATAAAAATCCCAACAAAGGCAAAGGGCTTCCAACTTAATTTCCTATCTAATAATGAATCTTACCAGAGCTCTGATTTATTTTCTGATGTGGGGCACAAAACAATCTTAGGCTAACCGACCATCAGTGTACCTCAGATCAGAGGGCCGAGACTTGACTCAGTACTTCTGCTGATCTCTATTACCACTAACCTCTACTCAAAGGCTTGAAAAGGGGGCGAAGTGAAGGAGAGAATCGGGTACTATGAACTGACTGGCTATAAAACAAAGTATAGGGTTTGGATGGAAGGAATAGAAAGACAAATTCCTGTTACTGTATAAGCATTTCTCTTCTTGTCAGACTTACTGAGGAACCCCTCCCGCCACCATCAGGCTCATTCATGACACAATTACTTACGAACCCCCACCACCAGAGCTGGACTGAGCTCCGGGGATAAACAATGAATAAAAGAGTTACGGTCCCTGTTCTCACAGAGAGAACGTTCTACCAGAGAGGCACACAATAAACACACAAATCAACCAATCCATAATAGCTGTGATAAGTACTATGAAAGAAATAAACAGAATGTTGTGACAGAAAATTGAGAAGAAAGACATTAACTCTATTAGCAGTCAGGACAATGTGTAAATTAAACCACTGAAATGTGATTTCAGACACACCAGGATGGCAAAAATGTTGAAGTTAGATAATGCCAAGTGTTGGCTAAGATGCACAGAACTAAAAAGTCATATATACTCTTGGTGGGCATGTAAACTGAAACAACTATTCTGGCAAACAATTTGATAATTTCCAGTAAAGTTCAGAGGTGTCTAACTTACAGCAGTTTTACTTTTAGGTATAATCTAAAGCAATTCTCAAACATGGTCATACATAGAAAAAGATATGCACAGAGATATACATTGAAACTTTATTTATAACATCAAAAAATGAAAATAGCCTAAATATTCATCAATAGAGAAACTGATAAATGAATTATGACATATCCATATAATGTAATACAGATAAAAATCAATGAATTAGAGGTATAAATATTAAGAGAAAAATCTCAAAAATAAAATGCTGAATAGAAATGCAGAAGTATATGTATATACCACGTATGCAGATTTTTTTAAAAAGCAACACTATATAGATTGTATGTGTCCACATACATATACTTAAAGTGTAAAAACTTGGAGAAGGAATGACACTAATATTAGGACTTGTTTCCTCTTGGGAGGTGGTAAGATTAAAAAAGGCAACTCAAGGAAGCTTTGCTCTCTCACGTTTCGTTCTTGAGAGAAAGAGAATAAAGAGGGAGAGAGAAGCTGATAGGGGAACACCAAAGCTGAAGATTTTAGCTTCAGTCATAGCTGATAGGCTTAAGTGATTAATGCATGTGGAAAGCTGTTATTCCAGGGACCGGAATGCATGACAGGTGAAGTTCCACAAGCAAGTCAGCCTTGTGCCCCTGGGGGGTCTGTCTGCAAGCGGATGGAGATGGTATTTCAGCCACCGTGTTCCAGGGAGGGAACTCTGTGATGCAGATGAAGAATTGCTGATCAACATATAAAGTTCTAGGAAAACTGCCTGTACGCTGCAACTCTTATCCAATGAATCTCTTCCCCACAGCCCTCACCTACTCTTTCTTCTGCTTATACAATAAAAGGGACGCCCTGAGATGAGATGTTAAGGTGGTTTTTGAGGGTACGTAACCTGCCATCCTCTCAGATTGCCGGCATCTAAATAACGCACCCATAAAGATTCGATCTTTGTCTCTATTTATTGGTTCTGGTAGTGACAGGCAGCACGGACACCGATTTTTCTGGTTTCGAAGCTAGCCTCTGCCAGATGGGTGACACTACAGGAGAACCCAAATTGATGAGAACGTGCAATAATCTGTCATCATGACAATCTAGTTGCTGGAGACCTCCTTCTACCACATCCAAACCTTCAGTAGAATCTGGCTTAAATATTCTGGCTCGGCCTCTGCTGAGGGGACGACCAGTTTACGCTTTGGCCCTAAGGTTAGCAGACCTCCTCAGGCGAGGTAATTGATGGGGTAATGTATGTGGGGGTGGAGTGAGATGGGGGATAATGAGCTGTGAGGTTAGTTCAGGAAGACGATGAAACAGATGGTATAAAAGAGAACATGTTAAAAGCATGTGAGGGAATAGGGCAAAGTAACTACTTTATCATTTCATAATGTAGATAAAATTCAGAGTTAAAACTGGCTGACAAAATTTCAACTTTTTAGGGAGATCTCAGCTCTTACCTCCCATAACACACCGACAAGTTGTGTAATGACTAAAGTATAAGAGTCAACGAGAGTTCCTGAGCAACCCACAGCTGTCACTGTCTCATAGAGCTTCTCTTCATTTCAAAGTTTGTGAATGTAAATGTTATTAGCAGAATAAAGGATATAAAAAAGAAAGGAGACAATCACCTCTATATGGACTTCTAAATATATCCTTTATGATCCTGTGTCTATGAAGAGCTTGAACAAGTTTAAAAATGGGTGTACAGAGACCCTGGCTATGGAACTGACTCAATGGTCAGGCCACTACAGGGGTGAAGCTGCTGACACCTTTCTGCTTCAAACATCACCTGTTCCATAGGTTTTTCCCAGTTACCTTACCCTGCACCCTAGCATTCTACAGGGAATGACAACACAATGACAGTCTGTGCTCAAAGGGCACAGCCCAAAGTAGTGTCTTACAGGCTCGGGTCACAGATGTCTTCTGGTATTCTCTCATTAGTTACTATCTCCAAGGTAATATATTTGAACACGATCCCTTTATTCTCCAATCTTATAAAACAACCCAAAATCACATTGGTCCTGGACACACTTCTTCAACCTGGACTGCCTCCCTCTTAATAAAAGATGTAGTTTAGTCCTGACTGGTGTGGTTCAGCAGGATGAGCCTCATCCTGCAAACAGAAAAGCTGCCAGTTTGATTCCCAGTCAGGGCACATGCCTGAGTTGTGAGCCGGGTCTCCAGCTGGGGGCATGCAAGAGGCAACCAACTCATGTTTCTCTCACACATTGATGTTTCTCTCTCTCTTTTTCCCTCCCTTTTGCTCTCTCTAAAAACAAATAAAATCCTAAAAAAATAAATAAAAATGTAGTTTAAGTCTTTTCTTTAAAGAATTTCAGGCTTTAGGATAGCATCATTATTTGATCATCAACTTTCACCTTTTATTCTGAGTCCTCTTCCTTCAACTAAATGCGCTGTCACCAGAACTACATAATCCAACTTGTTATACTCTCCGAATGTAGTTCAAGAATCGGCCTTCGCAATTACTCAGTCAGCCTTCTACCTACCAGTAGAACACATTTTCCTTTTATTAAAGTTCTGTGTTACATTTTCTCTGACTCTGTCCTCAGTTCTCTCCCATCTTACCCCTCACATCTTACAGTTTAGTTCAATCAACAGTCTGTCAGACCATATAATTTTACTTTTCAGGTACCTACAACTCTTAGCCTTCTCATAAATCATGTCTTCATCTGAAAGCTTCTTTTGCCATGTATCAACATAAAATCTATCTTTTCCCTCAAAGCCAACTCCAATGATCTTTTTCATGTAGCCTTAGATAACACTGAGAAGAAGAAAGTGAAGGACTACTTGAGCCCCACACAACAGCCCAGAACACCATCGGAACATGGACTCTCTAGGGAAACCCAGGTAGGAAGGGGTCCAGGTAAGCACATGTGACCCACACATAAATGACCCAGCTCATGCTAAGCCAGGACTTCGTACCTCACCTTTTCCCTAGAATTATACACAAAGATCTTCTCTTCTCAGTGAGGCTGCTAAGTTGGAAGAATGTGAGTTTGGGACAGCTGGCAGCATCCATCCCTGATGGGACAGAGCTTATTGGAGAAATAAACCCTCAGTGACAGGAGAAAAGGGAACTGAAACTAGGGGTGGTGATTGAAAAAAATAAAAAC